TTCATTAAAGAAAGAACTATAATATTCCATGATAAAATAAATAAGGGAAATTTTGAGGTAAGATAACAGGATGTCCATGAAACATTTAAATCAAAAAAGGCTACAGCTAAAATAGCCCCTCCAAAAATGTAATGTCCCTCCTCCCTTTTAAAAAAGAAGATCAGAAATTGTCACGTCACAGGGAAAAAAAGTAATTTGATTTTTCCCTATCTGTAAAATTTTTAACACATTTTTATATTCTATATAGCCTCGTGCGCATTTCAAGAGTTTTAAAATGTTGAATTCGTTAAATAACATGATGTAATTCATATTAGATATCAAACAGCATGCAAAATATACAAACGTTTGATTTTATGCTCTTAATGGTTTCTAAATATATACTGAGTTTTGTTTTAAAATTCTCGCAAAGTTGGAAGTAAAAACATTTAACTGCGTTATCTTATTTTTAAAGTAAAGTATGACGTTATCAAGATTGTTGTCTCCAAAGATTCCTGATGTATAACTTAATTTTAAACATATTAACCAATCAGATCGCTCTCAGGTCTTTCCTGGGTGAATGTTTTCCCTCGATAAACAATCATTAATTCATCTTGTCACCGAAGCATTATATACCTCCAGCATGACTACCTTTTAAGAATCTGAAGTTTATTTAAATGAAATGTTTCACTCATATTTTAAAAATAAGAATTCTTATTTTTTGTCCGAATTCAAACTTAAAAAGATCTCACTGCAAGAAATTACCATTTTAGTACAATGATAGTCACCTATCTTATAAGAACTCTACATATACTATTTACAAAATATGTGTAGCTCTTATTTTGTGCTAGAGTATTTATTATTTAAATTGGTCAAGATAAATTATATTTAATATAAAATTAAGAAATCTTTTTTATGCATTTCTCCACCTAAATACCATGTAGACTGCTATGATTTCTGTTCAATAATAATGAACTTGAGTGAAGGCCTGGTACCTTATATTGAAAATAATTAAGATAAATACATAAACCTTAACACAATGTAATTTTTAATGCCAAACATTTTTGATTCAAGCGTGGAATGTCATTTTTTCAATGTTTTGGAATAAAGCCTTTAGTTTCTAAATCATATGGCTTGATTTAGTTATGAATGGATTTAAACAAGAACATAAAAAATATTTTTAAAAAAATTAAAATGAAGTTGCTCTTGTTAACCCAATTCATCAGTCAAAATAATCTTAAATGATGCAAATATTTTCTAAAAATACAATTTTATTGTTGCCAATGTACAAATTAAGAAATATAATTCGGCCATTCGATAATTCTTTGATTTCACCGGAGTCAAATGCCTTTACAAGTAAGAGATGCAATCTTTATGTCTCTATAATGTTTTCTCCGTATCCTCACCGTTACTTCCCTTCAGTTTACTTACAAGAACGAATTAGATGGAAAATTTTATCAACCTTCAGACGCAAATTCCATTGAGGTGAAAATTCTGAATAAGGTTTTAAAATTCTGAGAGTACAATAAGAAACCACCCTGTCCAATCAGACAGGATAACAAATATCCTCTCGCTCATCCCAAAGTCTGAGTGATCTACAAGGGATAGGTAAACTTATATCTAAAAATCAACGAATTGTCTTATGTTGGTTAACTTAATTACTCGTATAACAGAAGAATCTTGAAATTAGCCTAGACGTGCAATCATCCGTACAGATTGTTCATTGCTTGTTACGGTAGAGTTAGTGGCAGCTATTGCCCATCACAAAAAATATCAGTCAAGCATATAAATATTTTTAAATTGAATAAAAATCATTATCCCCATCATCTTCGCTAGCCAAGGGTTTTCGGTCCGCAACGCTCCCCATAAACCCTTGGCCGATATGCACTATAAAACGCCGGTCACACATAGCGCCATCTGTAAATCTCCTGAAAGAACGATAATTCTGGTTGTAGCAAACAGCCAATGAAATGATTGCTTTTAAGTATGTTTCGGTAGAAAATTATTACACAATATGGCGACTTCCATTGAAACAACATTTGGAATACAAAAATTAAATTCTTTCCAATGCTCTAACGGACAGACGTGGTGTGTTCATAGGAACGAAAACGGGTTTACACATGCATTAGAATTTCCTCGAAAACTTCTCAAAAAATCTAGGCCGTAAATTGAAAACAGTTCTTTCATTGGTCCACGGTCGGCTACAACTCTCCAATGAAAATTGTCCGGCGTTTTACAATGCATATCGGCCAAGGGTTTATGGGGAGAGTTGCGGACCGAAAACCCTTGGCTAGCGAAGATGTATCCCCATAGGCGATGGTACAATCTGATTGGTTAATAAACGTGAAGAATATCCGGTATATCAGCCAACAAGATTCCATCAACTTTTGTTGTTAGTGAACGTACAGGGGCGGATCCAGGAATTGAAGTTAGGGAGGGCGCCAGATTTAGGCAGGGGGTCTGGGGCCGCCTTGAGGCCCCCAGTGGGTCCAGGGCAAAGCCCTGGTGGGGGCCCAGGGGACGAAGCCCCCGGAAGCTCATGGATTCTAGAGGTTTTGTAGGGTAAAAATGAGGTCCACCGAGAAGACATTTTAAACATTTTCTCGAAAAAACTATGTTTTATGCTAACTTTGACAATTTTAGGGGGGCGCGCGCCGGGTGCGCCCCCCCCCTTAAATCCGCCACTGACGTAAACCTTACAATGACTATATATCGTACCATCATTCAGAGATAATATTATACCATCACTCAAAGATTATATCGACATATCAAGTGTCGTTTACAAAGTTATCATTTCGTAAGCTCTATGGTCGATACGGTATGATAATGTCAGCAAGTCCTAACTACCATCAAGTCAAATATGCTGATTTACGTTACCCATACTAATTTTTAGGTCATTATTTACACACCGATTTGTCGACAGATTTTTCGATTATATTTCTCGATCATGACAAGGAGCACACGGCGGGGTATGACCGGTGGTGGTGGTGGTGGTGGGGGGGGGGGGGGGGTTCACTCCTCCTCATTGCACCTGATCCCACTTCTGATGTATTGGAGGTCCGTGTTTGCTCTCCATCCATTTTGTAATGTTTTATGGACTTTTGAACTTAGATACTCTTCATTATCTTCATATATTTAATTTCATTCAAATGTCGACTCGACTCGATATCCAAGCGATTTGAAATAAAAGAAACTTCAGAGTCCAAAGAGGGCTTAAATAGGCTTTGCCTGCTGCCCAATCCCATTCACTTTATGTTAATAAAATTTTGTGTAATTAATAAAAACTACAGAGTCTGACACATCTTTTGCATACTTGACTACTTGATATTTGACTAGAACAAGATGTCAACGGTTACCCAACAACCAAGCACTCCACGAATAATTGAATAAAATTCATGTTCCTTCATGCAAAACATGCATCCTTTTCGTGGAGACATATTCTTTAAAACGTAAAAATTCCATTTTAATTGTTTTAAATCTTGAAAATGTATGTCCTTTTTCTATCTTTGATCTTAGTTCCCAACAACGATTGCTGAATGGGTTTTTTTAATGATTTTTAAACTAATTGTACTAGTCCTTTTGTGGGATATACGGGGGGTGGGGGGGGGCAGTCCTCTTATGGGATAAAGAATTAAGGCAAGAAGGGAAACTTTGAAATTCACTGAGTTAGATGTTACCTGCCTTTCTACGATTTTTTTCTTTTCAAGAGATTAGTAAACATTTTCAAAATCAAGTATCATGTTAAAATACACACTTTTTTTTCCCTTCAAAGCAGTTATCAACCCAATTCAAAAGAAGATTCTCAGGATTATATGCAAATGCTTACTCGTGAAATTTTGCACTGCCACCCTTTCCTAGATAGCAGATGCACTGATCCAGTAGTACAATTAATTGCTTGTATGTAAGCTGTTTTACGTCCCATTCTAGCTCATAAAGAGACTTCACCATAAACCGGTAAAAGGTTCAAAAGTGTTGACCTTTACTTGGCATTTGCAGCCATTGAGCAGTAAGGGATCTAAATATGGCTAACGCCTACCGTGACATGAGACCTTGGTTTCTACGACCTTCCATTCAAGGAGTGAACGCCGAATCAGAAGTATGGAAACGCAGAAAAGAGTCAAAACTTCGTATGCGGAATTGCATGGAATAAACAGTTGAATGCATAAATCTAAAGAAAGTAAACACGTCAATACTTTACTTCAGATTATTTCTTCTGCTGACTGATATTGTAAAAAGGCGAGTCACAAATTCCAATATTAATCGGTATGCACAAAATTGAGCTAGCTAGCTGACCGCCCTTTGTTTCGCATGATGGAAAGTGTGATTCTAGGTTAATCTGTGCAAAATATGAATTCATATCACTTTGTTAACTTCACTTAATCTTGAAGTTTAATATTCTGATAACATTTTTTTCAAGACTCAAAACATTAAACATTAATATTATTATCATACACTGTTTAATTGTACAATGTTATTTATGGCTCAAGGGGGGAAGGTTAATTATAGGAACTTCAGACATGTCGGCACTATTTGGATGGAAGTCCTTCCCTTCAGCTTCCCTTGTTTCCTCAGATCTTCTATCAGATTCAGACGTAACTACATTGTTATCATCACATTCTTCTTGTATGATCGGTGTGTTATCAGGTTTTCGTGCCTTCTTAATCCAAGTTTTTGCCGCTTTGTTGGTCGCAATTGCTGTTGCGATATTTTTATCTGCTTTAGGGGACACAAAGACAGCTTTATCAAGTTTATCTACTGCAGTGGAAATTGAATTTCGAATTCTCGCAACTTTGTTAGTCACTGATTCAGGTAACGCCATCTTTGAATTTTGCCGAAAATGTCTGTTGTGAGCCATGTATATGATTGGTTTAGCAATAAAACTTAGTACGGCAAAAATCATAGTCAGAGAATACCAGCCGCGCCAAATTGAACCATCAAATCCGTTAACAAGGGCCAAAATAAGGAAAGGAAGCCAGCAGATGGTCAGGAAGCAATAAACCATCATGTATGTCACAGCCAAGTGGTGATCTTCGTCTTGGTGATCATCCGAGAACAGGTCGTAGTTCTGAACAGCACTCACTACGGACTGTAGACGACTCTGACGACGTTTGGACTGCTGCAGCTTCCTCCAGTAACGACTGCGGTTGTTAGCGGTTTCCTGGTCTGACATTGTCATTTCTGCCAGAGTGTCTCGCCTAGCACTGACATCTCTTGGGGTGTCTTCCATTGCCGCTACGATACCTGTTGCTGATACTGTGCTATTCTCGCTTCTGTTAGTAATCGGTGGTGACGTCACGGTGTTGTTTTGCTCTCGGTCGGGTTTCAGAAGCTCAATCATATCGCTTTTCTTCTTTTTCAATTCATTGCGATGATGGTTGAAAATAAGACAACAAGTAACAAGAAATATTAACAAAGACAAGACGAAGGTCATAGAGAAAACAGTTGTGACGTAGATCAGACTTGATGAATGAAAGACGACACATGATGCTTGGTAATCATCGTATGCTATTTTAGATATTCCAAACACTGGTAAAATGGCAACTCCAAGGTCTACAGCCCAAATCAAAACTGACGTTATGCTGACACCCACGTTGGAGTCAAACACTGCGTGGTGAAGTTTTGGATTCTTCTGTTTAACTGTTCGTTCTATCAAACAAAAACACACCAGTCCAAAGGACACGAGCATCAGCCATGTCGACATTACAGCATGGGCGTAACATACGGGCTCGGACATTATCCAGCTTTTGGCGAGAGCTGTCACACAAGATGGAATGAGGACAAAACCACACGCCAAAAAGTCCACAATAATTAACTGTAACAGGTATCTATTGGTGGGAAGGAGAATTAATTTCCGGCGCTTCAACATGAAAATCAGGAAAATATTGAGCAAACAACTTACAATGATGACAACACCACATGTTCCGAAGAGAATGTAGGGAATGACGTCACTGCGTAACCAGACAATGAATGTCCCTCCAACAGATTCAATAAAAGACATCTTCGGAGACTTTGAGTCCAAGTAATGAAAAAAGCTGTAGGTCCTCAAAAAATGGTTGACCTCAGGCCGAACAAATGCTACTCAGGGATAGTTATTCCAAAAGAATATAAAAACTTCATTAATAATTTTATCTTCTTATTTTTCTTAGCTCAAAAATTTTGAATGTTTACATTCATATTTGGACATCCTCTGAATATAAACAGTTCCATAAGTATATGTAGTGATAGAGAATTCTGCAGATTTACACTCTAGTTGAACCAGATTATGGAAACAGATGTATAAATCGGAGTGCAGTCGCAGATTAACAGTAACTTAATAAGACAGTAGGTTTTTGGGTGAATATTGTTTCAGCCATACCCTCTGTTTAACTTTTAAGCCTATTATCGTCTTATCGGTGAAAATTCTGTAATCTATACATGTCTTACATTTAATTGTTAAGAAAATATGACAGTTCTGCAAATGTTCATATACTTTCAATTTAGCTGTTATCCAGATATCTTATAAGGAATGGAAACTTTTACACTGTAAAAAAATAACTAGTTAATGTCACGAAGAAAACTAGTAGATTCACTGTCCATACAATCACTACCTTAATAGTAGTTTTACCAGATATTGGTATATTTACTAGATAAGATTAGTAAATTTAGAATTGATGTCTAACTTTCACTAGGTATCTAAGTATCTATACGACCCCCGCTCCACAATTCACTATCTTAACCAGTAAACTGAAAGTTTACTAATCACGACCAACGCTTTACGAAACACACTAGTTAAATTCACTGGGTTTTTCTTTCAGTGAATAATTCTTTTACCTCTTTATTGTAGATAGAAAGTTATACCAATCTGACATGAACGTTACTAGGGCATCAAATGGTCATCTACTAGTTCAATACAATAATATTCTTCTCTCGTACACATCCTTAAAAAACATGCTGTAACTACATGTATAGTTGATTAAAATGGTCCAACAACTTCGTGATTCAATGCTTTTAAGTAACCATCTTTACTGCTAACTGACAAGGATGTGAAAAAAGGGACTATGGTTCATCAGAAAATTCCACAAATTCATGTTCAGTAGAATTATCACGTTATAAAATGCAAGTCACTTTTTGTTTTTTTCAACAAAGTATAAATATGACGGGTGCCATTGAATTCCAGGGCATTGTAATTTATCTGGCAATTGGTGATTGTTTACATTTTCATCGGACAAAGGGAAATGATGATCCAAAGTTACAGAAAATATGCTACTAGTTCGAAAGACGGGAACACCTGTGAAAAAAAATATGACAGCATTTTAATTTTCACATTAATTCTATTTTGTTCAAATATATTTTTTTGAAAATTAATGCTAACAAAACTTACATAAATTCTTCCTTATAAGGGTTCTCAGATTTTCTGGCAGTTGAGTTTCGATGGAACCAATATTATCTGTGCCCTCCTGCTCTGTAAATTGACTGTTGCCAAGTTCTAACGGCACATTTCCAATAATGAGACCTACGGACACTTTACATCGAACCCCAGATGTTACTTCTGCTGTTAGCTGTAAAAAGACTAACATGTTAACAAGTATTTCTTGTTCTTTTCAGAACCCTGTTCTTTGAACTCGTACTCCGTAACAAATAAATTGAGTATTATGCTTGGTGTTATTACTTGCAGACAATAATGAACATCGATGTTGTTGCAGAATCGGGACCCTGATGGCGGTAATGGCGGAACCACAAGCCGAATGTTGTCCAGGGACAGAGTTGTGTTTCCTTGGATCTCCTGCAGATGCCAGGTCTTCATGCTTCTCTGTAATGAGTGCTCTTTGTCAGTCGCCTTTAGGGTGACATTCTGTGTAATAAAGGATAAGTTGGCTTTTAACTAAAAGTGTCTGAATGAAATGGGAAAATTTCAGATATAAAAAGGTAAAGATAACAAATTCATAAATCCAGTTAAAGGAATAAATTGTGAACTAATACGCAATTTAAAGACCCCTCGATACATCAGAGGTGTGACCAGATGCCTAAGAGAAGAAAACATCCCTTGTTGACCCGTCACACCCGCTGTTAGTCTTTTGTATTGATAAGGAGGAATCCGTTGTCAAATTAAGAGTAAAAGCAATAACGTTCTTGTAATATACGATTCAACGATAAAATTGTATTCTCAAACAAGGGCATTATAACGACGGTAGAATTTGAAGAGAGCTGACATTATACGAGGTTATAAGCATCCCCTAACATTAACTTATTTGTCTGCAGCTTGCCTCGTCTAAGAAACTGTTTTCGGAGCTTGCTCTTGCTTATAGGATCTTTGTGTAGATATAAATACAATCTGCAGGAGATGTTGGAATATTACTATAAAAAAGGGAATGTGACGCCGAAAAAAAGAAGCCATCCTGTTTGACATTTAATTTAGTTAGTTGGTCATTATTGTTTAAAGTCAGTGAAAGATCCAAATATATGGAACAATTGTTGCAGACTCTGTAGTGTATTTCTTTTGAGTTAACTAGGAAATATTTATTATGAAATTGAGAAGACTTCGCATTTTATTTCGGAGTTCTCTGGGACATATCGATTAAAAAATTTAGAAACGTCGGTATCTATTAACCCGACCTTACCATTATGATTTCCAGGAATGTATTTTTAAGTGACTTCTTAGATTGGTTTACGCATTCTCCGTCTAACTGAATTATTTCCCCTGGAACATAACCGATCTTGCTAAGCTTCAGCCTCGCTTTAACAGAACCGGAAGTGCAGCAGCCCACCATCTGTACATCCTCGGCTTCATCGGACCTCTAAGAGAATACATTATGAGACCACTTCTAGGATACCTTGCTTTCAATGATATGGAACTTTTTTTCTTTTTGGTCTTGGGCTAAAGAACTTTACACTTTTTTTTTATCTTATCTAAATTATGTTCATTATTGAGTTTACATGTATAGCTCATAGCTGTGCAAATTAAAAAGAGCAACATAATGTTCTCATTCATTGATGAAAATCTTCAAAACTTTACTATATATATCTTTTATTCCCTAGAGTTTTTACGTACATTGTTGGATATGATGGAAATACCTCTCTGAAAGAAATAAATTATAAGGTACCTTTACCAACTGAACAGATGAAGAGCTAACACCCGCTGTCTATATATCTTACCATTGCGTAGGGTGATTCGTTTAGGTTGAAGACCGTGTTGACAGTGAAAGGGAGAAGACATTCCAGCTGGCTCTGCGATTCACGTAGTATGTACGCCCGTAAATAATAACGTGTGCATCCATTGTCAGCCTCAAAGGACGTGGGCAGTTCATCTGGAAGTTGCGTTGAGAACGGAAATTGATAAGTTCCAGTAGTTAACGGAAAAGCAGTGCCACCTATAAATAAAAGAACTTTACAAATTTAAGGGGGCCGACTATAGTTTCCATTGCGCAGTATTTCGCGCATCATAGTAAAATGAAGCGTATATACTGTTTTAATGCAATTTTTTTTCTCTTAATTATTAAAATTAAACAAAATTAAGAAATTATAGGTATAAAAATGTAATAACAATTTGATATAACTGATTATTTAACCGATTTTGCAATTGATAGGTAGGTTGACGTCGTTGCAGTGTGTTTTTGACGTTATGATAATCTGTAGCTCTTAAAGAAAGGGGTAATAAAAATATTACTAAAGAAAAAGTAACAAACATACGCTCTTGAAATTTAAAACATAGAAATTTGAGAATATCTCCGATATTTTTCTTTTGTTTTCATGTGAATCCAATGTGTACGTCGTATTTTGTAATAATCTATAAAAATAGTAAAATTTGCTAATTTTTTGCATTTTGAGATGCCCCCTCTGGTAACAAGGCGGTAGAATTTTGTGTTTCTTACATATATTGTATAATATAGTATTACTCATCATATATTATGTTTGAACAAAATGTCTATTGTAGTATTCGCAGAATTTGCTATAAAGTGCTAAAAATTGGCATTTTCCTATATAATCCTATAGTAAATGTGCCTGTATTTTGAGACGGTCCCTCAAAAATACCTGGACGGTAGATTTCCCCCAAACTTTGCATGTACACTGAAGTTAATGTAAGTTATATATGGTATAAAAATGAAGAGTTTCGCTATTGTAGTTTTCACACAATAAAACTATAGTCGGCCCCCTTAAGACCCAAAAAGGAGATTACTTCTCATCTTGAAACTCTGAATTGACAGATCAGTCAATGACGTATCAAAGAGCGAGAAATTGCAGTCTCAGGATTGGCTAAATATTCGTCCTCAGTTTGAAATTCAAATGCTAAGATATTACTGTGTTAACCTTTTTGTGCTTATATATAATAATTTGACGATAACATAAATGGCAGAAAGCAGTTATATTTAATTGAAGAGAGCATGATGTATGATTAAGATACGTTAAGTCAACCAACAACTATTTATAGAATGGAAAACATTAACTTGATGGACTTTTCAATTAAATGGGCGAACCTCAAATGAATTATGATATTTATAAATTATTAAAGATATTTCCATTTATTTATTGCTGCTTTATAAAAACGATGCACTCCTCTCCTCTTTTCCTCGGAAAGGAATAGAAGAGCGGATCGTTACCCTTGGCTAGCAAAGATGATAAATTAAACGCCAGTAAAAAAAAATACATGCAAAGCTTTTTCTCAGTTCATTATTTATTTTGAGTTTTCAGCTCATCAGTGCAAATATATGCATGTACAAGTAGTTTGACAGGTTCTAACGCTCTACTTATACATTGTAACAAAGTATAGTACTTAACCTGTCTATATTTTCATACTAATGCTGGTAGATTTATGTTGCAAAATGTTTAACATTAAACTTTTTCAATCAAATCTTACAAAATGAAGATTATTAAGTCACCTGAGTAACACAGGTGACCTATTGCTATCCGTTTTCGTCCGTCGTCGTGTGTCGTGCGTCGTGTGTTAACATTTAACATTTTCAGCTTCTTCTCTGAAACCACTCAACCAATTTCAACCAAATTTGGTATACAGCATCTATGGGTGAAGAGAAACAAAAATTGTGACTTTTATGGTCCCCTCCCCCCTGGGGCCTGAGGGTGGGGTCAAAACCACTAAAATAATTGCAATCTTTAAAAATCTTCTTCTTTACTCCTGGACATCAAGCAGGCAAACTGTTGGCATGAATGTAATGAGCATTGAGTCCTCTACTTAAATTGTGAAATTCATGGCCCCAGGGTCAGGGGTTCTAGTGCTAGGGCGGGGCTATATAGATTATAGTGAAAATGCATGATTTCTTTGAAAATCTTCTCTGCTCCTGGGTATTAAATAAACTAACTAAGCACATAGTTATGATTAGCAAGAGTGCCTCTTCCCAAATTGTGAATCTTATGACCCCAGGGTCAGGGGTTCTGGTATTAGGCGGGACTCTATTGTTTATATAGTGAAAATGCATTTATTCTTTGACAATCTTCTTCTCTACTTCTGGGTATTAAATAAACTAACTAAGTACATAGTTATAATGAGCAAGAGTGCCTCTTCCAAATTGTGAATTTTTTGGCCCCAGGGTCAGGGCTTCTGATGTTAGGGTGGGCCCTATTGATTATATAGTAAAAATGCATTTATTCTTTGAAAATCTTCTTCTCTTCTCCTGGGTATTAAATAATCTAACCAAGAACATAGTTATGATAAGTAAGAGTGCCTCATCCAAAATTGTGAATGTTATGGCCCAAGGGTCAGGGGTTCTGGTGTTAGGGTGGGGCTATATTGATCATATAGTGAAAATGCATTAATTCTTTGAAAATCTTCTTCTCTGCTTCTGGGTATTAAATAAACTATGTAAGTAAATAGTTATGTTGATCAAGAGCGCCTCTTTCAAAATTGTGAATTTTATGGCCCCAGGGTCAGGGCTTCTGGTGTTAGGGCGGGGCTCTATTGATCATATGGTGAAAATGCATTAATTCTTTGAAAATCTTCTTCTCTGCTTCTGGGTATTAAATAAACCATGTAAGTAAATGGTTATGTTTATCAAGAGAGCCTCTTCCAAAATTGTGAATTTTATGGCCCCAGGGTCAGGGGTTTTGGTGTCAGGGCAGGGCTCTATTGATCATATAGTGAAAATAGTTATGATAAGCAAGAGTGCCTCTTCCAAAATTGTGAATTTTTTTGCCCCAGGGTCAGGGGTTCTGATGTTAGGGTGGGGCTCTATTGATCATATAGTGAAAATGCATTAATTCTTTTAAAATCTTCTTTTGTTCTCCTGAGTAATAAATAAACTTAGTATACAGTTATGATAAGCAAGAGTGCCTCTTCCAAAATTGTGAATTTTATGGCCCTAGTGTTATGGGTTCTGGTGTTAGGCCGGGGCTCTATTGATTATATAGTGAAAATACATTAATTCTTTGAAAATCTTTCCACTGCTCCTGGGTTTTATGCCAATGATCCAAATACTAGTATATATTTATGATGAAGAAAGGTGCACCTAGCAAAATGGTTATTTTTCATGCCCCCCCCCCCCTCCCTGGGTCGGGGATGAAGGGGGGGTGTACAAAGTCTGAAAATAAATTAATGCTTTGAAATCTGCTCTTTTGTATTAATCAACCATTTTATGATAAAATTTGCAAAATTTTGAAATATGTGGCCCCAGGATCAGTGGTTCCTTTGGGATGAGGTGCACAACTGGTTATAAAGTGGAAGTGCATTTTCTCTTAATGTTACTCTGATCTACCTCTGGGTATTAAGTAGAGTAAGCATGCTAAGTCTATAATTATGATAAGCAATAGTACCTCTTTCAAAATTGTGAAGAACCACGAACGATAGTATTGTTCTCCCGCCTACCTCTAAGTCAATTCTCAAAAGTTAACATATTCGAATGATTTTCAAAATTTTTATAGATATTTATATGAATTTTCATAAAACGTTACTTTTTTGGGATACCAAAGAGAGATAATTCTATAATTATGGTAAAATTTGAGTTTTTCACTATAGAAATCAATGGAAAACGGATATTTTAAAACATCTTCCCCCCCCCCTTGAAACAAAAATTTCTTTATACAGGTAATATAGACTGTCATTTTACAAATTTATGCCAAAGCTTTCTGTGTTTCACGGGGGGGGGGGACATATGTTTATAGACAAAAAACGAAAAAATGCTGATTTTTCACCAATTCTAAAGCTATTTACAACTAAATAATTGTATTTTAATAATTTATATATGTTTTATTTATTTAAGGAAGAAGCGGATTATAAAAAAGCGTAAACTGACCCAAACCAGATTATACTCGATAATATGGCCAAGAATTAAAGTCATTCCTTATAATTTATTAAATCTGAAATTTTCCAATGGATTCCGAGGACTGGAAATGAGGGGATTGCATGGATATAATGATTAAGCTGGTCGTCAAGGGGGTGTGTCCCCATACCAAACCAGATTATACAAAATGTTTTGCGTTCCTTTTTGGAAATCAATCAATGAGAGGCGAGAATACAAACAAAATTAAATTATTTGCGTAAAACATAAGAAAAGATCTGAAATACATTTTATCATATTTAAGACTATTTCAAAATATGGTGATTCTTGAAAGTTCGATTTCACTAGAAAATATCGTCTACCCCCCTTTTTTCGAGAGCTGAAATTAATGATAATTCACTATCTAGCGCTGGAATTAAAATGATTAATCAATTACCATAGAACTGTTCTTTGTATTAAACAAAGATTTAATGGCCAAATTGCCATTAAAATTGAATTTAAAGGGTGCAAAATGTAGGCGGGAATCAAGAGTTAGAGTACGTAGTTCTTGCGAATTTCATGGCATTTGGTTTAAAACACGAACCAAATTTAATTGTTTGAAAGTTGTTGCACTATACTCAGGTGACCTACATAATGTATAAGGCCAGTGGGCCTCTTGTTTTTGTTATGACTTTCTTTTGGTCAATCCATGTCATTCATTCACTTTCATTCTAAAATTTCACCGACATACCTTTAGTGGCCAGGTCTATCCTGATGTGACAGTACCTCTCCAATGATGTGTGCTGACTGACCACCCCTTTTTTAGATTTACTGTGCTTTTCCTCAACAATGACATAAGACAGGCCCGTCAGCTCCAGGAAAATGCCTAGAACCAAGGCACGGGTACATCAGAAAAAGTGTCTTACTTAGAGAGAGGAATTAAGGTAGGAAGAGGAGGAGACTTACCCGTAGTTTCAAACTTCTCAGCGATGTTAAACTGCACAATTCCTTCGACACATTGTTCGGGGAAAAAGACCGCCTGAGATTTAGTTAAGATGATCCTAAAATTCTTTATTATTGTCATATTATTTAGTTTGTATTTCGTTTCATGTTTATCTTGACTCACTTTATAAAGGTTAAATCTGTTAATCTCTGTGTTAGGATTACGGAGTATTATAAGGTTTAATTAGATGTGGATTAGTCTATATATATAATTCATCAATTCATTGACACTGGCAAAGATGAGTTCGCACTAAGTACACTAAGTACAGAAAGGTTTATTTTCACAAAAATTTAAAAAAAAAAAAAAAAAAAAAAAAAAAAAAAAAACCAAGAGGCCCATAGGCCACATCGCTCACCTGAGAATTTTTGACCATTCTTTTTTTTTTTACCAGATTTCCCCCTTGTTATACATATTGTGACCCCACCCTACCCCAATGATCATAATTTAAACAATTTGAAATCTACACTACCTCAGGATGCTTCCACATAAGTTTCAGCTTTTCTGGCCCAGTGGTTCATGAGAAGATGATTTTCAAAGATTTTTCCTATATATTTCTATGTAAAACATTGATTCCTCATTGTGGCCCCGCCCTACCCCCGGGGGTCATGATTTGAACAATTTAGAATCTACACTACCCCAGGATGCTTCCACATAAGTTTCAGCTTTTCTGGCCCTGTGGTTCATGAGAAGAAGATTTTTCCTATATATTTCTATGTAAAACATTGATTCCCCATTGTGACCCCGCCCAATCCCCGAGGGTCATGGTTTGAACAATTTAGAATCTACACTACCCCAGGATGCTTCCACATAAGCTTCAGCTTTATTGGCCCAGTGGTTCTTGAGAAGAAGATTTTTAATGACCCCACCCTATTTTGTCTTTTCTTAAATATCTCCCCTTGTGAGGGGACTTGGTCCTTCATTTTTACAATTTAAATTCCCCTTCACCTAAGGATGCTTTGTACCAAGTTTGGTCAAAATTGGCCCAGTGGTTCTTGAGAAGTCGAAAATGTGGAAAGTTTACAGACGGACAGACAGACAGACGGACGGACGGACAAAATGTGATCAGAAAAGCTCACTTGAGCCTTCGGCTCAGGTGAGCTAAAAACCCTAGACCACAGGATAAGTTCTTTATAATAATTCCCATCAATTGTCGCCTAACTATGTACAGCATATCAAAATTTTAAGATAGAAAATTTTCGATTAAAACGAATCTAGACAAGAAGCTTTTGGTCAAGGGTTTTAAAATTTATTCGAATAACTTGAACCTTAATAAATTGATTATCTGAAGAAAAAAACGCAATGCAACATATTATGCTGGAATATATTGACTTTTAACTCGGTTTATAGCGTTTAAGATTTAGTTCAAATAATTAAGCTTCCATAAACTGGATATCTGAAGTAATTTCAATTATTGTAAATAAATTCTCTGTACGAATAATATGTTTAGTACTACAAAAATTTACAGCCATTCAAAAAGGTGCACGAGTTTGTTCAGGTCGAAATGCGAGCAGACAGATGCCTGCAGTTGAAAATCAAGAAGGGTTCCTGTGCCCCCTTCTCTCCACCGTAAAAAAATCATCCCTGGTATCATAAATAAATTTCGGAAATTGGAAAGGAGATTCGGGAAATGTGTTTTTGCGTCAGGTAACGTTATGTTTTGAAGTAAACTACATGTATCAAAGACATACAGTTGTGACACCTTTAGAATTAATCTTGGTTCATTCCATCTAGCTGCAGAACTGTACAAATGTAGCTCTCCGAAAAATATATATTGACAGACCGGATTGTCTAAATATTTTTTTTCGGAGAGCTACAGTTCTGCAGCTACATTCCATCTTGCACCTGTAATGGTTCTGGCCGTGGATATCGGCCTGGATAGCTCAATCGGTAGAGCACCTGACTAGTGATACAGGGGTCCCGGGTTCGATTCCCGGTCCAGCCATGCATTTTCTCCTTTCCTGTTACAGATTTGGTGCCGTGACCAGGATAGGAGAAAATGCATGGCTGGACCGGGAATCGAACCCGGGACCCTGTATCACTAGTCAGGTGCTCTACCGATTGAGCTATCCAGGCCGATATCCACGGCCAGAACCATTACACACCAAAGGGCAGATAACTCTAACTATATTGAGCTACGTGGAATGAACACTCCAGTGTAGAGTTTGGTCAGAGCAGAGACATATAAGAGACTCTGGTCAGACCTTCCTTTTAAGTTATGAGCAGACATAATGTTCATGAAATATGATTAAGAATTCATATTTGGTTAAATTTTAATTACTAAATATATAAAATTCATCTTTGGGCAATTTAGTAAAAATGTGAATTATGAGTCTACTGTATATATATACCCGTTTGTATGACTGCCCATAAGCTTCATTTCTCTTACTTTCAAAGTATAACTATGATGCACTTAGAAGATGTATATCCACTGAATATATTCTCGTTAATCAGTCAATAAATTAGGCTTAGATGCATAGAACTGTATAGTTAAACTAGGCTAAGCATTTCTGGAGCGGTGCATGGTCCTTCTATAATTGAAACGTACAGTGATGTATATCAATAACACAATATTAAGTATATTAAATATGTTTAAATAATGGTATAAAACAATAAAATGTCTTTCTTTGTAAGTATGGGGAGTAACGTTGCAGCTGATGTAGAAAAATAACATAATCCGACTATGCCAATTATGCATTTTTTTCTTCATCATCATCATTCCCATACTAAAACCAAAGAAAGCATTTTATTGTTTAAAAATTTTACACATCTTATGAATGATTATGTTTTGTATACGAGGGTTGTTCCATAAAATCGTGGACAAAGCGTTTTTCTCTAAAAGTAATGGGCGCACTAAGCTGAAATTTTCAGTAAATGTTTATTCATCATATTTAAGTGAATCATAATGTTTTTGATAATATATATTCAAAAATAAAGATTTTATTCTGCTTGAATGTGCACAAGGTACGGTCCTACGGCGCACGGTAAAAATAGCAAGGTTATACATTGTATTAGAGAAGACATAAGAATTAATTCGTAAGAAAAGTTTTCAATACATAAGATTAGGATGAAAATTATCCTAATTCCATTCCTTAATCAATTCTGTCGTCTTTTAAAAAATTTCAAGGCATTTGGTTAATTTTTGGCAGTTTCCCGAGCATTTGAAATGGGAAAGTAATAAACACAATACACGAAAAATGGCGACTTTTTATGACGTTACGGCGCACCGGAGAGCAGTTCAGATAGATTAGGATGTTGTAATGACGCCTTAAGAGACTTTAAATGAAAACAGAAGAAAGAATATATGAAAAATATCACCAGATCTTTAGTATATCAATGAAATGAAAGTTTTCTTAGTAAAGTCTTCGTGATCGAGTCCCCAGATAGTACAAAACATATGGACAGACTGCCATTTGTTATAGCAAAGGACACTAGCTGTCACTGTCGACCGTCGATGTGAGATTCTCTTTTAGTTGAATGGTGGTGAGAATACTGTCTGTAACTTGCTAATAAATATTCAGAAGATCGCATGAGTGTGTCTTATTGGTTTCTTAACTGGTTATAGATACTCACATATGTAAATCAATAAAATTTCTAAATTTAAGTGGGGCTTATCCAACTTTAAGTTTAGCAAGGATGAAACGTGACGCTGTTTTAGACACTTTGACGTTATCATCCGTGCGCCGTAGGGCGATACAGTACATAACATAAAATATAACAATTTGTTTACCTATGCATATATCTATTTGAAATTTGCTATGTATATTCATAATTTATCTACTAAAAAGTGGTGAAAATTTCAGAACGCAGTGATGATTATTTTTCAAACTAGACAACTTGTCCACGATTTTATGGGACAACCCTCGTACTATGTCTCATAACCCCCCCCCCCTTTTTTTTATCTCGTGCTGTCCATGCATGTTTGGGAGATTTTGCGATTTTTTTTTATTTTAAACTTATTTCAGTGCATTAGTTCGCTATTTCAGAGGTATTCGGGAAAAGTTGTTGGAGACAGATTTTTGAATTAGTTTGCAATATGGCTGCAATATGCAATATATTGATCATTGATAGTGGGGAGGGGGGACAACCAAGTGGAAAAAAACATTACTTACCTGGAAAAAAATTGACAGGAAAAAATGGGGGATAAAAGTATCAAATTAAACATGATCAATAAACAACAGAAACCATTGCAGATCATTGTAGACAAGAGCAGTCCAAATATTGTCGTCCTGGAAGACAGTATAATTATGTCGCTAAATTGCTTGGGACTTGCATAGAATTTATGATTAATGATTTGCATTCCATTTCATGTCTATTTATCAATAATGAACAAGCATTCAAGATAGATGGCTGACGGAAAAATACGTATTTCCCAATGAAAAAAAAATAAATGTTCGAAAGGGCAAGATTTTAAAACTATTAAAACATGTAGATTCAAACCTTTACATAATAAGTAACAACTGTAATGAAAGTCAGCAGACTGGCAGTCTGCCCATCTGAGCTATGCCATAAATATGGATGGTTGAAATATGATTGTCAAAAAACATTTTTAAACAGCTTTCTTGAATGTGAACTTCAATCCCAGGGAAGGATTATCCCTTTCACAGATTTGGTTTTAAAATAATTCATCTAAATATCACAATATTTATGTAAATTATAAGTAATCATAAAGGTCTTCCCCAAATCCCAAAGGACTTCTTTGTAATAATTTCAAAAAAGTGAAACTTAAGCAGGAAAAAGCTGTTTTAGCCATTTTTGAAGGTTAATTTTTTAAACTCTAAATAATTAACTTTTGGTTAAAAATGGAACTATGAACATGAGATGTTTGTTAAAAACTTATGCCTCCATCTCCATTACCCAAATAATTGGGAATTTTTCTGGGTCCAAGGGGTATTACTCTGTCAAAAATGGCTCTATCTTTCCCAAAACAGAACTTGACCTAGATTTTCTTATGATAACTATGTCTATACAAAATTTCATTTCAGTATGTGCAACCCCTGCAGAGGAAATGAACGGAACCTACAAATAATTGGAATTTTTCCAAGTCAAAAGGGCATACATGTAACTCTGTCAAAAATGGCTCGATTGTACCTAAAACTATAACTGTCCAAACGGGACAAAATACCCCCCGCTGGGTTTTTCAGAAGAAAGTTTTTCCATAATAAAGATATGTATCAAACACGAATTTTGAAATTTTTCTTCCAGTGACCTAGAACTTCCCCAAATGACCTTGGGTCAAGGTCATGACACACCCTTGGGGCATGGGCAATCTTTGAGTGAAATGAGAACCTACCAAGTTTATCCCTAAGAAAGATATGAACCGGACACGAAATTATGAAATTTTTCTACCAGTGTCCTTGAACTTCTCCAAATGACCTTGGGTCAAGGTCATGACACACCCTTGGGTTATGGGCAATCTTTGTGTGAAATGACATTCTACCAAGTTTATCCATAAAAAAGATATGGACCGGACACGAATAATGAAATTTTTCTACCAGTGACCTTAAACTTCCCCGAATGACCTTGGGTCAAGGTCATGACACATCCTTGGGTCATGGGCAATCTTTGTGTGAAATGAGAACCTACCAAGTTTATCCATAAAAGATTTGTATCAAACATGAATAATGAAATTTTTCTTCCAGTGACCTTGAACTTCCCCAAATGACCTTGGGTCAAGGTCATGACACACCCTTAGGTCATGAGCAATCTTAATGTGGAGTAGTAGATTCTAATGTCCCTCTGTAAGAAAAATATGGACCGGACACGATTGCACAGACGGACGGACAGCTGGACAGACAGGGTGATTCATATATACCCCCCAAACTTCGTTTGCAGGGGGTATAATAAAATTTGACCTTGATATCCATATGATAAATCTGTATACCAAATTTCGTTCCAGTATGTGCAACAGTTGTGGAGAAAATGAATGGAAACTTGGTGGACAGATAGACCGACCGACAGCAGCAAAGTAATATGCCCTCTCTTCCTCAAGGGGGGGGGGGGGGGGGATAAGAATTCCGATAATTACAAATAAATATACTGCACAAATTTAAAAGAGACTTAAAGTTAAAAAGTAATCAAAATAATTTAAATACCTTTATGTAGAAAAAAAATTCTCATATTTATAGTTTTATGAAATATTTGCAGAAATCTTTGGGAAAAAAAAACAAAGAAAGATGAGTGTTGCTACAATATTTTCATTTCTAAAAAATACAGGAACATGCACATAGAGCTATACCATGGACCAGATATTACCAATGGTAATGGTGGAAAAGAAGTATAAAATATACAATTAACAAATAAAGAACCGGGTAGTTGAAACTAAAACTAAATCACTGTATATTGGTTTCTCAATTTTAGTTTCTCAGCACCTTCTCTTCAACATTAAACATCATTGCTAGACATTCAGTCTAAACATCCACATATTTTTATAAGGGCTTGAAGGACATAACTCTCCCCTCATAGGAAACCCTAAAGTCCATTCCATGGGAGAGAATCTTCTGCATTGACTTTCCCATTTATCCTCTACTTCATGTTTCATAGGTTTCTAGAATTATGAAACATTCAACCAGCCATGTGACCATCAGTGAAACTCCTCTTCTCTGTCATATAGATTCTATTTATCCTTCAAACTTGACCTATAAGAAGCCTCCAATCTTTATGATAACATCGAGTCCCCTCGACTCCAGTGGCACCTCGTTGGGGTCACCCAATAAAGCACTGAACTGGTGATTCCCCTTTTTTAAAATCTTTGGTCCATACAAGCCTCCTTCCAACACCAACCCATCACTCTGGAGAAAATGATAAGAAAAGTTACTCATAAAGCTTAGCAAAATAAAGCAAACCATCATGTTTAAACCATAAGTAAACATTTAATTTAGAAAGAGGTAGGAAAAAATGCTATTTTATGTCCCCATCTTTGATTTTGTACCAAGAGTCAAATATTAATGCTAGCTTTCCTTATGTATTGCAAAGCTAGTACAGTCAAACTTGTTTTAAGAGGCCACCTCTGGGAAGTTTGGAAAACTGGCCACTTAAGACAGGTGGCCTCTTATTCCAGTTTGCCCTCGAAGGACATTTGGTCAATAAATAAACAACAGTAAGCACAACAGTTTAATTGATTAATCATAATTAAACAGTTCAATTTCACAAAAGCTTTTTATGTGTATATTTAATAATTAAAGCTCATTTAAAAAGAATATTAAAGAATTCGAAATGTTTAAGGTTTTGTGCATGTTTCTGTTCCTACATATAAGTTAAACATCTTGCATTCATAAGTATGCTTTTGTTACATTGAATTATTAAAAATTTAAAAATCTTTTTATTTTCATTTGAAGAAATACATCCTTTTTATAAAGAAATAATTTAATTCTGGCTGTAACGCTGTATTTGATTGGATAAAAAATTATTTTATATCGTATAAAATGGGTTGCCTACGTCACAATGATTTTCGTCAAAAACATATCAATCCGCCTGACGTTACATTCAAATTTTGTAGAAATTGAAGTCGTTTTGTTAGAACAATCATATTTTTTTCTTACATCAAATGAATGAAAATTAAATTATAAGCAATGAATTTAATAGCTACCCATTTTATACGGTATAAAGTGGGTTGGAACAGTTTACGCTTTTTTATAAACCGCTTCGCGGTTTATAAAGCGTAAACTGCCCCAACCCAGTTTATACCGTATAAAATGGGTAGCTATTAAATTCATTCCTTAAAAAAATACACAAAAATACAGTTTAATTGTTAATAAAATAAATCATAGGAATTTAAGTAAAAATATGTCAATAAAAATTTCACTTACATATGTTAAAAAGATAGTCAGCAGTGTAACACCCACCCCCCCACCCCCCAACTTAATCAATCGGTAATTAACTTACTTGCTGAAGTTTATAAAGTTTGATTAACTTTATTGTTTATAAAGCTGTCAGAATTTCTATATAACATACACAGACACACAAATAAAATTAACCAGTTGACCAAAGATATGTATTTACGCAGTTGAAAATTAAATCATTCCATAACACAGGTGTCAAATGCAGTAGAGCGTGAATAATCCCTATCGATCCTCTCTTGATAGTGAAATTCATGAGATAATCATGCCATATGAAGCACTTTGTTTTTACAAGAGTACATGTAGCAATTAGGGCTTCTACATGGAATCAAAATCTGAAAGGTGTGAATTTCTTTAGCCTGAGGAAAGTATCAATTGTACAGTAATAAAATTCTTTTAAAGATCTTGAAAAATAATTACAAATTGATCTAACAGGACAAATATTTCTTTTTCATAAACACAAACTGAGTTCAGCGTATCTAAAAGCAATTTCTTTAATTGCATTAATAGGTTAAATTGACTATCGAGAATATAATTACCCAAGCCAACACGTTTAAAAGATGTGATAGAATCGCAACAAGTGACGAAATGGCCACCTATTACAGTGTCAATAAGGCTGTTTGGGGAGGATTTGAGTGGCCGCTGGCCACGTTACACAGGTGGCCGTTTATTCCAGTTAAAATATGTAGTAAAAATCATCGGGGGGGAATTGAAAGTGGCCGCTGACTGCAAGTGGCCGTTGATTTCGGGTGGCCGCTAAGACAAGTTTGACTGTATATTGCTTAAGATTGAAGCTCTATATAGAACAACCATACTTAACCCCTACATGAAGGCATTCCTTAGAAACCATATATTAATGAAGACTTACTGTAATTATTGTCTTTTTTTGCAGAGTTAGAGCAAAGGGAGAGAACTCTTCATCAGTCACTTTACACTTCATCTTCACACCCGAGTTAACCAAGTGGGAACTTAGCACAGGAAAATCGTATACCTCCTGGATAAGACAAAATGTTTTATGAGGTACCAAACTAATTTTGGCCAGTAACAATTGCCAGATAGGATTACTAAGGTTATCATAATAACAATATTTTTCCAAAATACTTTTTACAACAAATATAAAAGCGGTATTCAAATTTCCGAGATGTTTAACTGTTGAACTATTTACTGAGGAATCATCAATGTTCATGGGGTACTGATGTTCGTGGATTTCATGGGTCACCTGTATCCATGAATTTACATCCACACAAACATTTATTTTGTCAACATATTTATTCATTAAATATTCTGTATATATGAGTTACCCATGAAATTATGTCCTCACGAACCAACAAAATTTTGCTTACCCCTGCCCTCTTCATGAGCTCCACCAGTGTGGGGGTCATCAGAAGTGCCCGCTTGGCTCTGGTCACCGCTACATACAGAAGGTTATACTCGTCAGCACTGACCGGCACTGGTCCTGTCAAAGGAGATCAATACATAGGTCCTTACCACAGGCAAGTAGTGAATTTATCATTATACCAAAAATTCCTTTCAAACGTCATGATATAATATTCTTCAGATATTTCTCTATAACTTTTTAAAATTCATTATTGTAAAAAAGATATGCTTTTACTAGATTTCATTGCCAGTACAACTGATGTGACTTACTAAGTACCCCTGGTAAATTTTCTTCTACATTGAAATCATCAGTCAGTCTAACTGTGTTAAACTCCAGGCCCTTAGCTTTGTGGACTGTACTGAAGATCATATCTATAAAACAAAGGAGGTCAGGAGAGTTAACTCTATACTAAACATACTTGAAGATTCAAATAACTTGTAGTTTTACAAGTCAACAGGTATCAATACTTTAATTTTCCAAATGCAATTTATTACTGAACACTAGGGAAATTAGCTTTTCCTCTTTTTTTGGTGTTATCCTCAATGGATGAACTGAAAATGAGCTAGGGTGATAAAGTAACTAAACTTTGAAGTAGCAAGACATCAATAAGTATCTTACATTTGTGCAAAGTACCCTCGAATCATGAGTTTTCGTGGCATTATGGTTAATTTGTAATAAAGTGCTTCAAGACTGAATAATTGAGATGTTTGCTATTTATCACATATACAAACAATAATTCTCCTTATTTTAAAATGATTTTAACTAGCATATCATTTGTTATTTGTTCAGAAGGTCATTGAATTCTTGCATAGTTGCTCTTTCGATTTTTTTGCGAACGTCATATGTTTTCATGGTATTTATAAAACAAGTAAACTATGGAAATGTAGTACGGCAAAATCCTTATAAATTTTACAGTGTCAAAAATACTAGTCAATTGACAAAATGATTACATTATTTGACATGGAAATTTTTTTGTTGTTAATTAAAACCACATCTATCAGGCTTGTTTAAGCTGTATTGCTAAATAATGTAAAAAATTTCCCTTTCTCAAGAGCGGCCTAGAAATAATTTTGTAAAGGTTTATTTTAATGTTTCATGTTTTAAAATATAAATTCCATGTATACTTTAAGAAATTTTATGTTTAATTCAATTAATTATCAATGGCATAATATTTTTTTTAGCATATAACTTTTTAACACCCCCGATATTTTCTTTGAAAAGTATATAAAAAATGACATTACTAGATCACCGTAGAAAAAATATCAAAAGTGGGAAATTCCAGATTATTGTCACATGATCGGAAGCTGTATGGATAGTTAACAGACGATGATATGCAGGATTGCCGGCTATTAGTTTGTAAGTTTGATATTCTAGTTCAAAACACGGTGAATAAGCATATACTGTAGATCACTAATTTTTCGCGACACCTTATTTTTGCGAGATAGTAATTGACTCTTGATTAGCGAGACCAAATTTTCGCGAATTGTGGTTATTGCTCTATTTAATCTTAAGGAATACTATTATACACGAGAATTAAATTTTCGCGAGCACACTGTCTCGCGTAATTACGCGAAAATAAAGTTCCCGCGAATAAAAAGTGATTTCCAGTATTACGCAAATTGTCAAATTTGCAAACTATGCATAACACACTCGCTATATTTTATTTTGGAAAAGGCAAAAAGGTTTAACATTTGGTCATAAAACATGCACAGGGTTCCCCTTTATTAATAGCAAATATGACGTCATTCCGATCTCGCATTGTGCGATTATTCCTAAAAATAAACAAGAGGCCCAGGGGCAACAACGCTCACCTGAGAACATCGGCAAGGAAAAAGCACTAATCGGATCAGAACTGAAAGTTTACTGAGGTGGGGGGGGGGGGGGGGGGTTGAATTTTAACCCCCCAGGTTGCCATGATTTGAACAAACTAGAATCTACACTACCTGAGGATGATTCCATATAAATATCACTAATCATGGCTTTGAAGTACTTGAAAAGAAGATTTTAAAAGGTTTCCCTATATATTCCTATATAAAACTTTGGTCGGCCATTTTACCCCTGGGGTCAGAATTTGAAAAAACTTGAATCTACACAACCTGAGGATGATTCCACATGAGTTTCATCTTTCCAGGCCAAGCGGTTCTTGAGAAGAAGATTTTTAAAGAGTTTTCCTTTATACTCCTTTGTAAAACTTTGATCGGCCATTTTGGCCCCACCCTAACCCCAGGGGTCATGATTTGAATAAACTTGAATCTACACTAATTGAGGATGATTTCCCATGAGTTTCATCTTTCCTGGCCCATTGGTTCTTGAGAAGAAGATTTTTTAAAAATTCCATTAATTTTTCTCTAATTCATAATTATCTCCCCTTGGAAAAGGGCGTGGCCCTTCATTTGAACAAACTTGAATTCCCTTTACCCAAGGATTCTTTGTAGCAAGTTTGGTTGAAATTGGCCCAGTGGTTCTTGAAAAGAAGATGAAAATGTGAAAACTTTACAACAACAATGACGACAACGCCGACGACGACAACGACGACAGACAACGGACAAATTTTGATCAGAAAAGTTCACTTGAGCCTTTGGTGAGCTAAAAATACCACGAAAACGTATATACCACGAAAACACATGACAGGACGGTAATTTACATAAAAATGGCAATAACAAAACCAAAGTTTCCAAATTATATGACCTGCACAAGTGAGTCAAGGCTAAATATGAATATTTCTATGCGAATGAGCTAATAAAAATTCATAAATTGTATATTTTATGTACAGAGAAAGTTCAAATTGATTTTCTTACACATACTTAGTACTCACAGTTTATTAATGCAAGTGCACATTATGACGTCATATCATGACGTCATTGTTCTCTCCCATTCAAGGTAATAAATCACATCAACAAAATCACGTCAGCTTAAGGGCATATCCTATCTAATTTTAAATAAACAATGTATAATATTAAAGAGAATACTCTTAAAATTTTTTAAATTGCTGCGCAAATCCTATGCACTTTCTCAATCGATAAATTTTTTTTAGAAACTTACACTGGACTGTGAATTTTTACGCTGTTTAAACTTAAAATTGCAGAATAGTAACTAAACAATTGCAATGCCGACATTTGTGCAGCAATATCTTAAATCCTTGGAATATCCTGAGTCTTTTTATACCTTGTTTCTGTAAAACAGAGTAAGGTATGCCCTTACGCCGAAGCGATTTTGGTGATGTTTCTTATAAACTTGTGTAGTAGAGGTTGATGACATCATAATATGATGTCATAATGTGTACTGGAGTCGGATGTCGTGGGTACCAAGAATGTATTAGGAAAAAAGTCTTAACATTTTCTGTGCGGTAGTTAGAGCAATTATGGAATTTAATTAATATTTTGGATAAAAACCTCCATATGTAGCCTTCTCCCACTTGCGTGTACGATTCCTTAAAGAAGTGAATAAGAGGTTTGTTTACCAGCCATATTGAGATCTCTGACAGTGTGAGCGAGGATTTTGTGAATAGTGACAGGGAGGTTATGGTGGTACGTTCTGACAATTCTAATTTTCCCCAGGAGTTCCACATCATTTGTCTTTGTTGCAAACTGCTCAAACTCAGCAAAACTTTTGAACTTCACAACCAGTTTGTTCTCTATTGTTCTTTTTTCTGAAATTAAATTTATTACAGTCAGGTAAATGATGTCCAATAAAATCAGGATGCAGTGAGATATACTGGCTATACAATTTATATAGGAACTTTACACGATTACGTTTATGTCCTGGCAATTTTTCAGTTATCTGTTTAACTTGGTTCAGTTATGATTTTAAATCAAGTTTCATAATATCATTTTAAAATTATCAGAATATTCATCATTATGTTTTTAAGCAAGCAGAATGCAAAAACTGTAATGCTTTTTTTTTCTCCTGACAGTAGAAATATATACCGGTATGTATATCAACTGACTTAAAGTCTTACAAACTACAACAAGAGGCCCATGGGCCACATCACTCACCTGAGAAGCTTTGACCATTCTGTTCTTTACCAGATTTCCCCCTTGTAATACATTATGTATCCCCACCCTACCCCACTGATCATAATTAAGACATTTTGAAATCAACTACCCCAGGATCCTTCCATGTGCAAATAAGTTTCAGCTTTTCTGGCCCAGTGGTTCTTGAGAAGAAGGTTTTCAAAGATTTTTCCTATATATTTTTATGTAAAACTTTGATCCCCTCATTGTGGCTCCACCCTTCCCCTGGGGGTCATGATTTGAACAATTTAAAATCTACATGACCCAAGAATGCTTCCACATAAGATTCAACTTTTCTGGCCCGGTGGTTCTTGAGAAGAAGTTTTTCAAAGATTTTTCCAATATATTTCTATGTAAAACTTTGATTACCAATTGTGGCCCCACCCTTCCCCCGGGGTCATGATTTAATTTAGAATCTACACTATACCAGGATGCTTCCACATAAGTTTCACCTTTTCTGGCCCAGTGGTTCTTGAGAAGAAGATTTTCAAAGATTTTTCTTATATATTTCTATGTAAAACTTTGATTCCCCATTGTGGCCTCGCTCTTTCCCCGGGGGTCATGATTTGAACAATTTAAAATCTACACTACCCAAGAATGCTTCCACATAAGTTTCAACTTTTCTGGCCCAGTGGTTCTTAAGAAGATTTTCCAAGATTTTTCCTATATATTTCTATGTAAAACTTTGATTCCCCATTGTGGCCCCACCCTTCCCCCGGGGGTCATGATTTGAACAATTTAGAATCTACACTATCCCAGGATGCTTTCACATAAGTTTCAGCTTTTCTGGCCCAGTAGTTCTTGAGAAGAAGATTTTCCGAGATTTTTCCTATATATTTCTATGTAAAACTTTGATTCCCCATTGTGGCCCCGCCCTTCCCCCGGGGGTCATGATTTGAACAATTTAATATCTACACTACCCTAGGATGCTTTCACATAAGTTTCAGCTTTTCTGGCCCAGTAGTTCTTGAGAAGAAGATTTTCCAAGATTTTTCCTATATATTTCTATGTAAAACTTTGATTCCCCATTGTGGCCCCGCCCTTCCCCCGGGGGGTCATGATTTGAACAATTTAATATCTACACTACCCTAGGATGCTTTCACATAAGTTTCAGCTTTTCTGGCCCAGTAGTTCTTAAGAAGAAGATTTTCCAAGATTTTTCCTATATATTTCTATGTAAAACTTTGATTCCCCATTGTGGCCCCACCCTTCCCCCGGGGGTCATGATTTGAACAATTTAATATCTACACTACCCTAGGATGCTTTCACATAAGTTTCAGCTTTTCTGGCCCAGTGGTTCTTGAGAAGATTTTTTAATGACCCAACCCTATTTTTGTCTTTTCTTGATTATTTCCCCTTGCGAGGGGATATGTCCCTTCATTTTAACAATTTAAATTCCTCTTCACCCAAGGATGCTTTGTACCAAGTTTGGTCAAAATTGGCCCAGTGGTTCTTGAGAAGAATTCGAAAATGTGAAAAGTTTACAGACGGACAGACGGACAGATAGACAGATGGATAGACAGACAGACAGACAGATAGACAGATGGATAGACAGACAGACAGACAGATAGACAGATGGATAGACAGACAGACAGACAGACAGACGGACGGACGATGGACAAAATGTGATCAGAAAAGCTCACTTGAGCCTTCGGCTCAGGTGAGCTAAAAATTTACTGAAGACACCAATAAGTACGGGGAATGTCGACAGTACTGACCTCTGGTACTAAATATCAACAGTGTACAATTTCCTCCTTTTGATTGACATTTATAGCAATAAGAATTAAGGGTGAAACGTTTACTGAATTTTGTAAACGTTTAAACGGATAGCAGTAAACGAAACGGTACCGTTTAAACGGGAGGTATTCTATGTTGGATTTTTATGGCTACTTACTCATGAAACTCGAATTTAATAATCAATTCTTTCACTTTAATATAAGTATGAGTTGTTATTACAAATTTATTGTTGGTCATTGTGATTTAACCGTAAGAATTTGAGGCGCATTAAATTCATTCACTTACGACCTCGTCACCCAACTGCTTGGTTTGTTTGGTTACCGGACGTAGAAAAAATAATTGTAAAGATGGATCTTTTAATCTCGAAAAAAGTAAAACAAGACCTGCTAACTGTATTGAAACTTTTCAAAGACTTGTGATAAATGTATTATATTTATTTAATCAAAACATATCAAGTTTTATATTTCAAGTGTCGTAAAACATCGCTAGTATTAGCAATAGCAACTCGGAAATCGGAATTAATAATGTTAGCCCGTATCGGGTTTTAGATATTTTCATTCAATATGTTTCCGGTTTAGATTGTTGCTTATCAAATGGTCAAAGACGGTGTTTCTTTTGTAAGTTATATAATAAAACAATTTGTTTGTGTTAAACTTTATTTCTGATAGACATTGATAATGACCTTCATGTAAACGTTTACTCAAACTGTAAACGTTTAGAGCATATAATCGAAACGTCGCCGTTTACACGTGTAATCGTTTCGCCCTTAATAAGAATTCATTATCTAATTTAATTTTCCTTACGTTTAACTCTTTCCTCTGGAGACAGCATGAGAGTGTACAGATCTTGTAACATTGGAAATCCAAAGCCATCAGTTCCCTGTCAACATACATAGTCATTGTTTAAATATTATAAAACAGCAATCTGCAGAAGTAATAAATACTTTCTAAGTCAGAGTTTTAAAAAAATCACCCCTACCCCAACAAAAGCCACTTTAATGTTGGTTTCCCCAGAATAACAACATTTCTTCACGGCTTCAGAAAACACAGTAAAGTTACAACGACACAGCACTGCTATCTGGCCACTGACGTCTCCATAAACATTGCCTGTCAACAAAACAAGGAAAATCCTATACTGACATCCAAATCTGAACCAGTAAATACACATGTGTATACAAGTACAGTTCAGACAATTCTAGCAGCTTTGTTTTCAATAGCCTCTTGCTCTTAACAGCCATGCTTCAGGAACATATATGGGTCATTTTCAAATAAAGTCTATTTTTGGAATGACATATTTTGAAAAATGAAAGTGGTTTTACTATGATTTTTTCAACTTTATTTGAATAATTTAGTAATAAACTACTAAAATCCACTGCATTGCATAAAAGAAAATATTTCTTTTAAAAAATATTGACGTTTTATCTTAGTCATTTAAACTTTAATGTCCTTCCTGTTACTTTCATAAAAAGACCTGTAAAACTCTATTTCAAAATTTTCATCAAATTATATTTTGTATACCGTTAATAAATGAAAAAATTATCATTGAATGCCAAGATGTTTGACATTCATCTAATATATGAGCGTTTAAAAGCATGTCAAACTACCATATACCAAACAGAAGCAAAATCTACGGGTTTTTCTTCATGAAAAGCCTTATTGCGGAATGTTTATATGCTATAGTTGAAAAAAACATTCTTGTACATTATTTTTGTGATTAGAATAAACAGTTACAGAAAGTTATTTAAACAGCTGCTCTGCCAAAGCAATTTAAACTAGGAAAATATACTGGTAACAGTAAGGACTCGGGTAACAAGAAGGACAAAACAGTAACAGGATGGACAAAACAGTGTAACAGGATGGACAATGAAATCTACATTTTAAATAAAAATTGACTTTTTTTTAACTTTATTGGTTAGGAAAAGAGAAATAAATGTAGAATAAAAAAAATGATTTTGTCAAATCTGGCAAATTTGAGACAATAAAAGACATTTATGTCCATCCTGTTACGAAATTTAATTCTAAAGTGCTATTAAAATATTTATCAGTTCAATTTTTGTTTATTAAAGGTACTCTATGCTGTTGAAAAACTAAGAATTTTTCATAATTTTAAGAAAAACAAATGATGAAACTTAAATAGGTATATAAATACCAGGATAATTTGTCCCTCCTGTTACAATTTTTGTCCATTCTGTTACAAGAGTGCATGTTTAAGTTATAATGGCACAATTTGAAGCACTAACTTATTTCAATATGATTTACGAGGTTTTTTAACATGTGTTATTAAACTTATATTACTTAGAAAAATAAAAGTAATTGTTTTTATTGTTAAAACTCAAGATATGAAGTCCAGTTTTCCTTACTGTTACCATATTAATGGTAACAGGAATGACAGTAACAGGATGGACATTTCTCATATAAATCACTGGTTATTTAGTATAACGTACTCTTTTTGCATCATCAAGACATTGAAACAGTTTCTTTGTAACTTAGTAAATCTGATTGTTTTAGCAGAATAAACAATTTAAAGAGTATTTGCATATTATGAAGGTAACAGATAGGACATATTTTCATTATACTCTACCAATAAGACAAACTTATCGACATTTGAACCCTTTCTTTACTCACTTTCAAACCATGGCGCTCATAAACTTGAGACAACAGAAAATGATGATATATTGTGGATCATGAAAACAGTTCCTAGGAAAGTGAGATAACTTTTATTTTAACATTTTCTTTCTGATAACAGGAATGACATAAACTGGTGGGACATGTCATTTCCTGAATGTTAAATGCACGATACTAGTATTTAGTGGGCGGCATAAGTAAAACAATCATATTAAATTAATCTGTAAATGAATGCAATTAAAATGAGGTGCAAAATTTGTACATATCTTCACAGGGTAATATTTTCCCTATCATTTAAATAAGCGCGTTATAAAATTTTTGTTAATGTGACAAGGTTTTACTGTTAAATTTTACTCAGAATGCAGAGAATATTTTTTATAAAACACCTGGGAGATGATCATAAAATTACTTATAAGCTATATGACCATGTATATTAACCAACGGGAAAAAAAATTTCACTCTAAAAAATGTTTTCCTATTATTCTGATCAAAAGACAAAAAAGTGGACTTTTTTTGAAAATGGCCCATATCTGTAAAATCTCAAAGAGGATGGAAAATGAAGAATTTATATGTAGGCATTATTCTAAATGTTTTTTTTATTTGCTAAAATCTATTAGAAAACTTGATATAAGGAATAGAAACCCTTCATGAATCTGTGTTACCCTGTTTGTAATACTTACAGGGGGTTCCATTTCCCACCAATGTTTTCTTCTCATGCTTCAGTTCTTCTATACAGCAGGCTGCCACCTCTGCTATCTCTGGGCCAAAGCGGAAAGACTGAAAAAAAGAAGTAACTGTACATTTCAGGATAAAAGTGACTCCCCTGTCCCTGGTGCTATCTTGTACTTTCTACCTTAGTTCCTCCTACACCCTCATCCTAGCTGTGACTTACCTGAGTTAGGTAGAAGATATATTGACTTACCTGAGTTAGGTAGAAGATATATTGATTTACCTGAGTCAGGTAGGATATATTGATTTACCTGAGTCAGGTAGAAGATATATTGATTTACCTGAGTCAGGTAGAAGATATATTGATTTACCTGAGTCAGGTAGATGTATTGATTTACCTGAGTTAGGTAGAAGATATATTGACTTACCTGAGTTAGGTAGAAGATATATTGATTTACCTGAGTCAGGTAGAAGATAAATTGATTTACCTGAGTCAGGTAGAAGATATATTGATTTACCAGAGACAGGTAGAAGATATATTGACTTTACCTGAGTCAGATAGAAGATATATTGACTTTACCTGAGTCAGATAGAAGATATATTGATTTACCTGAGTCATGTAGAAGATATATTGATTTACATGAGTCCGATAGAAGATATATTGATTTACCTGAGTCATGTAGAAGATATATTGATTTACCTGAGTCAGATAGAAGATATATTGATTACCTGAGTCAGGTAGAAGATAAATTGATTTACCTGAGTAAGGTAGAAGATATATTGATTTACCTGAGTCAGGTAGAAGATATTTTGATTTACCTGAGTCAGGTAGAAGATATATTGATTTACCTGAGTCAGATAGAAGATATATTGATTTACCTGAGTCAGGTAGAAGATATATTGATTTTACCTGAGTCAGGTAGAAGATATATTGACTTTACCTGAGTCAAGTAGAAGATAAATTGACTTTACCTGAGTTAGGTAGAAGATATGTTGATTTACCTGAGTCAGATAAAAGATACATTGATTAACCTGAGTCAGATAGAAGATATTTTGATTTACCTGAGTTAGGTAGAAGATATATTGATTTACACGAGTCAGATAGAAGATATATTGATTTACCTGAGTCAGGTAGAAGATATATTGATTTACCTGAGTCAGGTAGAAGATATATTAATTTACCTGAGTCAGATAGAAGATATATTGATTTACCTGAGTCAGGCAGAAGATATATTGATTTTACCTGAGTCAGGTAGAAGATATATTGACTTTACCTGAGTCAGGTAGAAGATAAATTGACTTTACCTGAGTTAGGTAGAAGATATATTGATTTACCTGAGTTAGGTAGAAGATATATTGATTTACCTGAGTCAGATAGAAGATATATTGATTTACATGCAGAGTTCTTGAAATCTTTCGGTCCTGTCAGCAAAACCGATAAAAACAACCAAGGACCGATTACTTTCCATTCTTTGTCAGTCCAAATGACCGGACGGTGTTGACAGAAGAACTTGCGAAAAATGTGACTAAATTTCGTGCGAATTCCCTATAATTGACCGATCGTAATCTTTCAAACTCTTTTTCTGCATGTTGTAATGGCTTCTCGATTAATATAAGTGCAAATTTAGAGACAATATTCTTTCGTTAAAATGATAAATGTCCCAGGGACCCGGTTTAATAATAGAATTTGTTCCGTATATTCACTATGTCACAAAATAAACACGGGCAATAACTCGAACTCAGTACATTTACTACGAAGATTCCAGAGTTCCGAATGCAAACGTGGCGTGTAAATTTAAAGCGAGAAAAAACGTAAAGAATATTAGTTGAATTATCATCTTTATTTGGATCATAATTTAGGTTTAAAGGCATACACGACCTAAAAAATGTTTGTTGTAACTAATTTTGAAGTTATTTCAAGTGAAAATCCTTTTGTATACTTCAAATTTGTTTCGAAGCAATTCTGTAATTATTTGCTACATTGCGAGTATAACTGTTGTGATGACTTGTTCCGAGACACAGATTATTCTAACTTGCGCCAAACTATTACAGTAACTATGATTGGTAAACTGTTAAAACAAGTTTGTTGACGGCGCTAGGGTAAGACGTGTACAGTGTTTATAGACGCCATGTTTATTGATAATAAAATTAAATACAATTTTCATGTTTTTATTGAATTTTTTTTTTGGACCGATAGAAATCTGTCTGGACTGACAAACTTCACAAGGCAGTCGGTCCAAATGACTGACAGCGAAAAAAAGATTTCAAGAACTCTGACATGAGCCAGGTAGAAGATATATTGATTTACCTGAGTCAGGTAGAAGATACATTGATTTACCTGAGTCAGATAAAAGATATATTGATTTACCTGAGTGAGGTAGAAGATATATTGATTTACCTGAGGCAGGTAGAAGATATATTGACTTTACCTGAGTTAGGTAGAAGATATATTGATTTACATGAGTCAGATAGAAGATATGTTGATTTACGTTAGTTAGGTAGAAGATATATTGATTTACCTGAGTCAGGTAGAAGATATATTGACTTTACCTGAGTCAGATAGAAGATATATTGACTTTACCTGAGTCAGATAGAAGATATATTGATTTACCTGAGTCATGTAGAAGATATATTGATTTACATGAGTCAGATAGAAGATATATTGATTTACCTGAGTCATGTAGAAGATATATTGATTTACCTGAGTCAGATAGAAGATATATTGATTACCTGAGTCAGGTAGAAGATAAATTGATTTACCTGAGTCAGGTAGAAGATATATTGATTTACCTGAGTCAGGTAGAAGATATATTGATTTACCTGAATCAGGTAGAAGATATATTGATTTACCTGAGTCAGGTAGAAGATATATTGATTTACCTGAGTCAGGTAGAAGATATAATGATTTACCTGAGTCAGGTAGAAGATATATTGATTTACCTGAGTCAGATAGAAGAAATATTGATTTACCTGAGTCATGTAGAAGATATATTGATTTACCTGACTCAGGTAGAAGATATATTGATTAACCCAAGTCAGGTAGAAGATATATTGATTTACCTGAGTCAGGTAGAAGATATATTGACTTTACCTGAGTCAGATAGAAGATATATTGATTTACCTGAGTCAGATAGAAGATATATAGTTTTACCTGAGTCATGTAGAAGATATATTGATTTACCTGAGTCAGATAAAAGATATATTGATTTACCTGAGTCAGATAGAAGATATTTTGATTTACCTGAGTTAGGTAGAAGACATATTGATTTACATGAGTCAGATAGAAGATATATTGATTTACCTGAGTCAGGTAGAAGATATATTGATTTACCTGAGTCAGGTAGAAGATATATTGATTTACCTGGGTCAGATAGAAGATATATTGATTTACCTGAGTCAGGTAGAAGATATATTGATTTTACCTGAGTCAGGCAGAAGATATATTGACTTTACCTGAGTCAAGTAGAAGATAAATTGACTTTACCTGAGTTAGGTAGAAGATATGTTGATTTACCATAGTCAGATAAAAGATACATTGATTTACCTGAGTCATGTAGAAGATATATTGATTTACCTGAGTCAGATAAAAGATATATTGATTTACCTGAGTCACATAGAAGATATTTTGATTTACCTGAGTAAGGTAGAAGATATATTGATTTACACGAGTCAGATGGATGATATATTGATTTACCTGAGTCAGGTAGAAGATATATTGATTTACCTGAGTCAGGTAGAAGATATATTAATTTACCTGAGTCAGATAGAAGATATATTGATTTTACCTGAGTCAGGTAGAAGATATATTGATTTTACCTGAGTAAGGTAGAAGATATATTGACTTTACCTGAGTCAGGTAGAAGATAAATTGACTTTACCTGAGTTAGGTAGAAGATATATTGATTTACCTGAGTTAGGTAGAAGATATATTGATTTACCTGAGTCAGATAGAAGATATATTGATTTACATGAGCCAGGTAGAAGATATATTGATTTACCTGAGTCAGGTAGAAGATACATTGATTTACCTGAGTCAGATAGAAGATATATTGATTTACCCGAGTCAGGTAGAAGATATATTGATTTACCTGAGGCAGGTAGAAGATATATTGACTTTACCTGAGTTAGGTAGAAGATATATTGATTTACATGAGTCAGATAGAAGATATATTGATTTACATGAGTCAGGTAGAAGATATATTGATTTACCTGAGTCAGGTAGAAGATATATTGATTTACCTGAGTCAGGTAGAAGATATATTGATTTACCTGAGTCAGGTAGAAGATATATTGATTTACCTGAGTCAGGTAGATGTATTGACTTACCTGAGTCAGGTAGAAGATATATTGATTTACCTGAGTCAGGTAGAAGATTTATTGATTTACCTGAGGCAGGTAGAAGATAAATTGACTTTACCTGAGTTAGGTAGAAGATATATTGATTTACCTGAGTCAGGTAGAAGATATATTGATTAACCCGAGTCAGGTAGAAGATATATTGATTTACCTGAGTTAAGTAGAAGATATATTGATTTACCTGAGTCAGGTTGAAGATATATTGATTTACCTGAGTCAGATAGAAGATTTATTGACTTTACCTGAGTTAGGTAGAAGATGACAGAAGCACTGATCCTGTGTAGAGCATTGACAGCCCCTCACAAAGAGAAGATTTGTTGGTGGGGGTCTCCCACTAGTATCTTGACTTACCTGAGTTAAGTAGAAGATGACAGAAGCACTGATCCTGTGTAGAGCATTGACAGCCCCTCGGAAGGAGTAGATTTGTTGGTGGGGGTCTCCCACTAGTATCTTGGCCTGTGATTGTCCCAGGAGGAGGTCAGATAAAGCTGTAAATAATGATCAAACTTTGTCAAGATTAGCATTAAATAAAATGAATACTCTCTCATAAATCTTTCATATTTATATGTGTTCTATGAAAAAAAAATGTGTAAATGCATAAACAGGGAAACTTATACATGTATGTTAAATAGAGGATATCTATATTGTGTGATTTGATATTGGCTTTATCCAACGAGTAGAAATGGTGTATATATTCGCGAGGCTTGCCGAGCGAATATACACCATTTCAATGAGTTGGATAAAGCTAATATCAAATCACACATTTATAGATGTTCTATTTATCTCATACGACTTTCATTTTAACAAAACTTTGAGACTTCCCCTGCAAAACTACATGAATGATTGCCAATTCAAATTGATGACGTATAACTTGATGACGTAGCACCGTTGATTGTTTACATGTCTCGAAAGAAAGTAGATTGTGTTCAAAAGTTAAAATTTTTCCTATCTGCGTCTTTGAAAACATTATGTGACAATTGCTGGAGCTTTACATGGTCGGAACTTCTGACTGAAAGTTGTAAGGATCGTAAAAATTAACTCTTTGTTCAGTGGCAGTACAAAACGTGCTAGGCAAGGCTACTTGTAACGTTAGATTCATTGTTGATCCATGGTAAGTTACACCTACATTACATGTACTAGGTAATCTATGCATATGTAGTATTATAGAAGAAAGCATTATTGAAGTTGATAAAGGAATCTTATCACAACAGCATAACTGCTAATCTTTACTTTCTCCGAAAATGATTTAAAGGGGGGGGGGGGGGTAACATCTGTCTTCAAGTAGCCAATACGGGTTCCATGATAAAATAAGACGAATAAGACAGTTATTTGACATATACGAGTCTTTTTCTTGCTTTTAATGATATTATTGCCCTTTATCATTCATTTTATAAGGGCAATAATTTTCAAAAATAAAAGTTTCAATAAGAGAAAATCTTGAAGCGAGGGATCGTGTCAAAACCGGAAGTGCTATTGATAAAGCATCTACCCATTGATAAAGCATTAGTTTATCCAACAGCCTGTATCACCCACACGTATGAGATAAAGAAAGACAGTTAAATTAATACATGTACTTGTCTTTATAAATTTGGTCACGTCATGTCAACAAAGAATGAAAATATTAAACTAGAACTGTCCAATAGGGACAAATACCCCCCGCTGGGTTTTTCAGAGAAGGTGCCAATTCAAAAATACTTTATGGATCTAGAGGTGTTCACAATTTATATACTTACAAAAATTTGCAGTGAAATATAATTGCTCATCATGTATCTTAATGAATAAAACAAAGGTGCAACCAAATGAAACATCAATACTACATGTAATACATTGTAATTCCATTGTTACATTTTTTTTATTTTTTCATTTTATTTTTTTTTTATTTCTGCATTTAAAAAATATATTGCAATTATGTGTTATGTCACTCTGCAAACTGAATGTTGAAAAAAAACCATTATACAAAATCAAATTAATCTTGATATATCAATTTGAAATGCATTTTGAAAATAAAGAGCTGGTCATCCAGTAATGAAGTGCTTTGACAGACAATAAATTACAATTAAGAGAATAAGATAAGAGGAGATCTTTAATTCTTGTGCCTTATTCCCTGGAGATTAGATAACACACACGCTTGATAAGAGATATGCCTTAACAACTTCCAACACCAAACTCATTAATTTATCTTTAACTGGATGCATGTCCAGTCATTATTCCCAAGAGACAAATGAAATTACATTATCTTCTGTGCAATGTAAAAACTGTTTTTAACACTTGATGATGTTTCTTGTGTTTTAAGTTTTTATGAGTAGTTTTAAGCTGTAGTATTTTTGAACAGATATTCTAGATTCTATATCTCAAACCTTATACATGAGGCCAAAATGAACAAGTCAATTAAAATAAAAAATAAAACCTGTAAAATGCAAAAAAATTAACAAAAAGAGTTGAAAATTCCAGGTGCACACCTTCATATGGTGAATAATAAGTGTACAAATTTTCAGATTAATCCTTGTAATAGTTTCTGAGAAACGGTCCGGACAAAACCACAAAATAAAAATGAAAAAACACCTGTAAAATTCAAAATAATAATCGAATCAAGATGAAAATATCAGGTGCACAACTTCATATGGTGAATAATATGTGTACAAATTTTCAGACAAATCCTTCCAATAGTTTCTGAGTAATGGTCCGGACAAAATCTCGTCTACAGACAGACAGACAGACGGACAGACAGACAGACGGACAGACGGACATGGTGATTCCAATATACCCCCCCTAAACTTCGTTTGCGGGGGGTATAATGATGAAAATTATGATTTATAAAACCAAAACCCTATATTACAATTCAAGGTCTGTTTGAATTGTACTTTTCCATATACGTATAATGTTTGAAAATGTTCCTCAAATATTATATTTAATCAAATGTAACAGCTCAATTGTATCATTCAGTGTGTTAAAATGTGTGAAGCATCTTTAATTTTTAGAACAATGCTCCAGAAGGTAAAAATATTTCTAAAATTACATTTCAATTTCTCTGATATAAGTGTATCTTTTTCTTTATGAACATTACTGTTGGCATTATTAAGGTCTTCTGTCTTCACTGAAGATCTTAGAGTGATTGTATTGTTTCTTATTATTAAGGTCTTCCGTCTTCACGGAAGACCTTATAGTGATTCTATTGTTTCTTATTATTATTATTCTTATTATTATTATTATTCTTTTTTTTGACAAAATTTTGTGCAGGCGATTTCTCGAAAACTATTCAGCGGTTTTTCATGAAACTTTCACAAAATATGTGTCATTATATGAAGTTGTTACATCCGAAGAAAAATTTGGAAAATTCGCTTCTGGTGCCAAGTTATGGACAATTTCCTGATTTTAAAATGCGATTTTGTCGCGCACTTTTATCGAAAATGGTTGAGGATATAAACTGGAGACTTACTGGAGATGATAGATCATGACTTTGTGGTTTGCAGAATTGCCTTTTCGTGAGTCGTCAGCACTTCCGATTTCTACCGGAAGCATATTTAAAAAATGCAATTTTTCAATTTTTTTGTTTTTCAATATTTTTCTTTGTTGTTTTTATTCTAAATAGAGACTCATTTGAGAATGTGTAATATGTAATTTTTTTTAGAATCGAGAAAGGCAATCTCGAGATATTTGCATTTGAAAATTTGAAGCGGTGTTTTCAATGGCCGAATGGTTAGCGCGTTGGATTTTCACGCGGGCGACCCGGGTTCGCTCCCCCGAATGTCCGACTTTTTTTATCGCTTTTTCTGCTAGATTTTTTGTTTTTTATTTCAGAATCGGACGGAAGACCTCTCGTTGCTTGCAACGAGTTTCATATCTAGTTCTTATTCTTTTTTTTTGCCAAAATTTTGTGCAGGCGATTTCTCGAAAAACTATTCTGCGGTTCTCGATAAAATTTTCACAAAATATGTGTTATAATATGAAGTTGTTACATCCAAAGAAAAATTTGGAAAATTCGGTACTAGTGCCAAGTTATGGGCAATTTCCTGATTTTAAAATGCAATTTTGTCACCCCTTTTTCTCGAAAATGGCTAAAGATATGAACTGGAGATTTACTGGAGACGACAGTTCATGACTTTCAGCTTTGCAGAATCACCTTTTCGTTCGTTGTCAGTACTTCCGGTCGTTACGAGATGCAAATTTAAAATATTGCATTTTCTAACTTTTTTGTTTTCCAATATTTTTCAATCATTTTTGGAATGCTAATAGAAACCCTTCTCATAATGCTTACTATATGATTTGTTTCAATATTGATTAATCTAAATTCTAGATATTAGCATTCAAAAATCTGAAGCGGGTCCAAAATGGCGGCTGTCTCCGGCATTTCACAATAGGGGTTTACGGAGTCAGTCGAGCGTTTGCTTGAACGAAGGTAACATAAGAATAAATGAAATGAAAAGGACTACTTGGATTGTCACTTCGTAATTACGTTGCAATTCTGTGTCAAACTAACGTCTTTCTATAATTGGTTTTGGTTGGTTCTCAAAGTAGAAAAAGAAAAGATTAAATGTGCAAATGAAATTCGATACCTAATATCTTTTGTGTACCATGGAAAAACAGATCTTAAATCATAGTTCATCGTCTCAAGCCACGGTCCGGAGTCCGCATATAGCTCTCTCCTACCCGTGGCTGCTTGATCACAAAAAGTGTCGTAATCTTGAATATTCAGCCTCTCTATTGTGACATCATATTCGGTGAGTGGCAAGTTTTGTTTCCATCGCAATTGAAATCAACAATTTACGTCAACAGTATACAATAAATATTTCCGATACAGCGATTGGACATTGAAAGGTTGCGATAAAGTTCATTATCCGACTATGCTTTACTCGCATTGGTTAATTTTTTAATGAGCTACGAAGAAATCTCTCCTCGTTCAACCACGGCCAGAATGGGAGAGGATCGTACATTTTGGCTGTGGTTTGCGACGATGATCATAGTTATAAGTTATACTCTCTTCAGTGCTCAAGTTGCGACTAAAATGGTCGCATTTGTGACCAAAAAATTGATTTTGCGACTAAAAATGAAAACACACTCGCATTTTCGCGACTGAGAAAATTTGGGCTGGAAACGTCCATTTTTAAGATCGGGATCGAGATTTCATTTGTAAAGATTCTCTATCAAGAAAATGTTTGAAGACATATACTTAAATACACTTTACAAAACGCTGCATGGACTTGGATCACGTAATGTTATGGCAGCATGCTGTACAAAGTTTGATAGAACCAGAGACGTATAAATAATGTTCCTGATAGAATGGCATCCTAACTTCGTAAACTTTCTAAGATCCGACCTTGTTATTGAAGCATTTGGTCAATTGCTTGGATATCACAATGAATCATGCTAATAAAGACTGTTTTGGCGGCATTATAATGACTGTGTAACGGGTTTGGTACGTAGTAGTAAGTAAACATCACAAACAGCAGGTCCTGTCTCAAAAGCTGTCAGGCTTGTATTTTCATTTGATAAAATTTTATTTCTGTAATCAGATTACTTGTGTTCTTCTGTACAACCATAAGGGTACATGTATTCAATAAAAATATTTTATTCAACCTAGCAAATTTTATAGTAACAGTAATAAGTAATCTTTGATATAATAAAGACAAAATACATATCCTTATTTAAATAATCAAGTTTATTGACAAAATATATTTTTTTTATGGCGAGTAAAATATTTGATCATGGCGACCAGAAATTCTGAAATGGCGACCAAAAAAAATTTTAGGTCGCCATTTTGCGACCTAAGAGGAAGTGTGACTTGGAGCACTGCTCTTAATAAATAATATCAATGAATAATGTAAGTCCCCTATTTAATAGAACATTCCAAAGAAAAGACGCAAAGATTAACTCGTGGCATTTGGCGCGAAATTTTGAAAAGTGACCCATCATTCATAATTCTAAGACAGAAGCACTGTTGCAGAAGTAAAAACAAGTGGATTTAGAGCAGAGGTCCTAAAAGCGTAATATTTAGTGCGTTGGAATTTCATGCTGGCAACTTGGGTTCAATCCCCCTTGTGTGCAAATCTTTTTTTTGTTTTTACTTTTTCAGCTCAATTTTTACGTTTTCTTCCCAGAATCGGATGGAAGACCTCTCGTTGCTTGCAATGAGATCGTATCTTGTTCTTATTACAATTGTAAGGAAAATATTAAGTTTTTATTTGAATAGAGATCAGACATCACCTGGCGTCAGATCCTGGGCTTCGTCTATCAGGATACAGTCGTAATTTCGGAGTTTGGGCCGGTATAACTGATACAGCTTCAGATAGCCATCGTGGGGCATCGGTACGTCCCGATTTCTCAGATCCTTCATACGATCCCAGAGATACTTGGCATCATTCACATAACCCTGATAACAGACAAAAATAATTTATCATATAACTCATTCTTCAATACTGGTGAATTTTTAAAATATATTTCTTTTCTCCTTTATTTTCCAATAAATAAAGTGTAAGCAGATAGATTGATATTGATATGATTTGATACTTGTGTAAGGATATACGAGGGTTGTTAGAAAAGTTCGCGGACACATTGAATTACGGAAAATCTATTGTGTACTGTGAAGTATGACCTATGTCTGAATAAATTCCTACATTTTGTTTATTAGTATGTAAAAAATCAGGTCCATTTACTAAAATCTTGAAAATTTACAACAATTTTTACTATAATGTCATAGGATTCACGGAGCAATCCCTTGACGTAAGGCGACGTGACAACCAGATTTCAATCCGTTATGCTTTGTCGCAGTTCTATAAATCTCTCCTTTCTTCAGATTTTTATCTTTTTTCTACTTTAAAATTGAACATCTATATCAAGACATGTTACCGTTCTACTATAATGTCTTTTATACTAATTCGGATTATATTGATTCGGATATTTTTGAGATCTTTAAAAACGTTTATGCAGTAAATTGATCAGGTTTGAAAACTGCAAAACCATATAGACACAACATCCATGCGATAAGAGGGTATTGAAGTATCGATGGAGTTAATCATTCAAAATGTTAATCCTTCCATTTATATGAAGTCACAATCATTTGAAAACTTTTGTCGTTTGTGTGTGTAGGAAATTTCCGGCAGCATCTTGAAAATTTTAATCTCTTTTTAGACATTTTACTGTCTACACACATAATTTTTACGTAGTGCAGTGCTCCATGACGCTCAATGACGTTCCGATTTTTGGCTGTGTTTTTACGTGTTGATCATTTATAAATGGCTATAAAACAGTCATATACCCTCCAATTTAATTCAAAATTTCTCCAAGTGACGTTTCATGAATACTTTAGCGATAGGTAAAATATCATAAATCTCTTTGCGCTACAATTGTGCAATTTTTAATTTTAATCAAAAGTCTTTGTAATGTAAACGTGCCAAAATGGAGCGTGCTCCGTGAAGCAAGATTTATCAAAATGAAAAAGCTGTGTATTTTTCAATGATTACCTGAGAGCACCAAATTTTTGTATATTTATTGGAATATAGGTTAAGATTTTATCTGGAAAGTTTTATCGGTTTCGTGGAAATAGCGCGCTCACAATAGAACTTGTCCGCGAACTTTTCTAACACCCCTCGTAGTATAAATAGTTTTATGGATATGAGATGAGGAATAAAAAAATATTGATCATTGTTGTATTGCATTTAGGGGATTTCAGATGCAGAAAATGTGACATAATTTTCGAATAGGCATAAAGATGTTGTTTTATTTAAAAATAAAATCATTAGGCATGATATATGTGTACATTATCTTAGCATATAAGTGAAATAATATATTTATTTTGTCTAACATGCTAAAATTATCCTAATTATTTTTTTCTGAACTTAAAAATTTGTGGTTTATGTTCGTAATGCATGGTGTCCATATGCATTGAACTTTTTAACACCTCTCTACAAACATTAAATAATTTGTCAAGTTCAATTTCTGTGTTTAATTTATGAGTATGTGTGATAAATTATTTTTAACAATATGCTTCATGAAAATAACTCAGTTCTTTTTGTAATTTTAAATTGATCTCTGATTGTAAAATGTTTGGTGTCTTGACCGTTACGAACATAATAGCTTTCAGTATGATTGCTAAAATAACAGCCAATGAATCATAAGTTGGCTCAGGAAGTCCGTAGCAGTGGTATAATTATAAATTGAAAACGAAAGTAGAAAGGTTGCGCAGCTGTCTGCTAAAAAACATGGCGATGCTCATTGTGTCCATGTGGAAAAAAAGAAGTTACGTACATAATAGATTCGGTAAGTATTTTCATATTGTATCAATTTTAGTGAATGTTTAACACATAAATACAGTCATTGTATCTTTATACCATGTAGCCATTAATCAGAAACTGAAATATGTCGTTTATGACTATACAAAATGCATAAATCTGTCCGAGTCAAGTACTTTCGGTTTAACATTTGACTTTTGATTCGCGTCTTTTGTTACGAACATAAGTGTTTTTGCATTATTTGTATAATCTATTAATGACAAAGTTATATTGTACTATATTTTATTCTATATTTGTTAGTTTTGTTCTGCTCTTATCAATGGATGAATACTTATTGAACATTTGTTTTAATATTGCCATATCATTTACACAATTACGTTCGTAACGGAGACATGAAATCTTGAAGTAGTGACATAATTTGTACTTTAATTGCCTTCTTTCTGGTTTTATCAAGGATATATAATAAATATAATTAAACAGCATATATGTTGATTGAATCATGTTGTATTTTGTTTTATTTATATTTTTTTCTTTCAGATTTACAAGAAATGACTGAATTATGTTCGTAACAATGACATAAAGATCCAAGACTCAAAATAGAAGACCAAGGATACTTAGCAATCCATCTGACAATTTACTTGTCTGCATTAATTCTCTTTGAAAGCTAGTCTATAATTAAGCTTTGAAATGAAATATTAAAAGTATTAAAGACAAGTGTTCGATTGTCTTGTTATTTTTTGTTCCTTTTTAAAGCCTGATTCGGAGTTAAGTGTCCATGTTACTTACATAATTTCTCCTTTTTTGAAACTAGAAATAAAAATTGTGACTTTTTAAATCAATTCCATTTAATATAACATTAAACATGATTTCATCATAACTTATTCATTCCATTATTTTTATATTTTAACAACTTGTTAAATTCTAGTAACATGTTACTTGTTTAGTGCTTATGTACGTAACGGTGTCCACTGGTAATCTTGGATATATTTTCTAATTATAATGGAATAAGGCAGAAATAAGTCATGCAATAAAACATGCAAACAAGTGTTTATATACTTCAAAAAGGATTCACCAGAAAAGAATAGCTTATTGATATAAAAAACAGTCACTGTGGACTCCAAGTTACGTACATAAAATTTCAGACATGCTTGTACATTTGGACACCTATCTCCTCTTTAAGACTTCAGATTATCTTCCCAACAATTTTTTTCAGAAGCAGGAAGGGTACTGACTCAATTAATATACATAAATTATGAAATTGATTATTTTTAAAAAATAACCCTTTGGTCACACATCTGAACTCAGTACTGAAGAATGAGTTATTTACAAAGCAATGAATTTTATTAGCAAAATCGATGATACTGGAATTTTTTTGCTCATGAAAATTTCATTTACTCATTTTTCATGTTATACAAAAGATTACAAAAAGAAACAAACAATTCTCAAAATTAGTGAAAATTTTAACTCTCTTATTTATAATCAATTACTAGCAAAAAAATAAACAGACCATAATCTTTGTTTATCAAAGAAATTTACAAATGAAATTTTTTGTAGTCTTTGATGCAAACCTACTTCGTCCCACCTCCAGTATACTAACCTGCCTCTTATTTGGATCAATTTCGGTTCTCACTCCATTGTCATTCATGCTGTGGCTTGGAACATGCTCCAGGGAGATGTTCTGGTCCGCTGAGGAAAAGAATGTCTTTAAGGTGTCCTGTACAAGCTTGGCTCGGATGAACAGGTTGTCTCCCTTCCGGGACGGTAGAATTTGAGTGACTGAGTACACAGACAGATCACGCAGCTTATTGGCGTCTTTGTACCTGAAATTTGTGTGATTTTGTCAAGGGATCTACATGTAGAATGATCAGTGTGTAAAATTATCAGCGTGTAAAATGATCAGATCTTGGAGAAAACAAAATGTCCTTACTTCCTTCCCACTGCTTTGAAGGCTAATGAATGTCCAGTCTGGCACTCTACATTCTTAGGAAATGTTGTTTTGGCATGATCACAAACAGACCTAAACATAATCCAAAATTTTATATAATTCTTGTTTTATTATATACCGGTAAGTAAAATTAATAAAAGTAATGTACTACATCGCTCACCTGAGCACTGTGGCTAGGAAAAAGGAGAATTGGTTTAAACTTGAAAAGCTTAATTCACAATAACGTTTGTCCCAAGACCAATCATGGCTTTGCTATAATCTTGAGAAGAAGATTTTTAAAGAATTTTCCTATACATTTCTATGTAAAACTTTGGTTGGCCATTTTGGCCCCGCCCTACCCCTGGGGGCCATGATTTGAACAAACTTGAATCTACACTACCTGAGGATGCTTCCATATAAATATGATCAATTATGGCTTTGCTATTCTTGAGAAGAAGATGTTTAAAGAAGTTTCCTATATATTTCAATGTAAAACTTTGGTCGGCCATTGAAGGGCCCGCCTTTACCCCTGGGGGTCATGATTTAGAGAAACAAATGGCATTTTTAAAAAATCTTCACTACCTGAGGATGCTTCCATATAAATATGATCAATTATGGCTTTGCTATTCTTGAGAAGAAGATTTTTAAAGAATTTTCCTATACATTTCTATGTAAAACCACTGGGCTATTTTGGCCCTGCCCTACCCCTGGGGGTCATGATTAGAACAAACTTGAATCTACACTACCTGAGGATGCTCTCATATAAATATGATCAATTATGGCTTTGCTATATATAGGAAAAGATTTTTAAAGAATTTTCCTTTACATTTCTATGTAAAACTTTGGTCGGCCATTTTGGCCCCGCCCTACCCCCAGGGGCCATGATTTGAACAAACCTTTAATCTACACTACCTGAGGATGCTTCCATATAAATAATCAATTATGGCTTTGTTATTCTTGAGAAGAAGACTTTTAAAGAATTTTCCTATACATTTCTATGTAAAACTTTGGTCGGCCATTTTGGCCCCGCCCTACCTGTGGGGGTCATGACTTGAACAAACTTGAATCTACACTACCTGAGGAAGCTTCCATATAAATATGATCAATTATGGCTCTGCCATTCTTGAGAAGAAGATTTTTAAAGAATTATCCTATATATTTCTATGTAAAACCAGTTGGCCATTTTGAAACTCGCCCTACCCCTTGGGGGTCATGATTTGAACAAACTTGAATCTACACTACCTGAGGATGCTTCCATATAAATATGATCAATTTTGGCTTTGCTAATATATGAGAAAAGATTTTTAAAGAATTTTCCCATATATTTCTATGTAAAACTTTGGTCGGCCATTTTGGCCCCGCCCTACCCGTGGGGGTCATGACTTGAACAAACTTTAATCGACACTACCTGAGGATGCTTCCATATAAATATGATCAATTATGGCTTTGCTATTCTTGAGGAGAAGATTTTTAAAGAATTTTCCTTTACATTTCTATGTAAAACTTTGGTCGGACATTTTGGCCCCGCCCTACCCCCAGGGGTCATGATTTGAACAAACTTGAATCTACACTAACTGTGCATGCTTCCATATAAATATGTCATTCTTGAGAAGATTTTTAAAGAATTTTCCTATATATTTCTATGTAAAACTTTGAAATTCGGCCATTTTGGCCCCGCCCTACCTGTGGGGGTCATGACTATAACAAACTTGTATTTTCTACACTACCTGACCTAAGCTTCCATATAAATATGATCAATTATGTACAAAGCTCTGCCATTCTTGAGAAGAAGATTTTTAAAGAATTTTCCTATATATTTCTATGTAAAACTTTATATGGCCATTTTGACCCCGCCCTACCCCTTGGGGGTCATGATTTGAACAAACTTGAATCTACACTACCTGAGGATGCTTCCATATAAATATGATCAATTATGGCTTTGCTATTCTTGAGAAGAAGATTTTTAAAGAATTTTCCCATATATTTCTATGTAAAACTTTGGTCGGCCATTTTGGCCCTGCCCTACCCCTGGGGGTCATGACTTGAACAAACTTGAATCTACACTACCTGAGGATGCTTCCATATAAATATGATCAATTATGGCTTTGCTATTCTTGAGGAGAAGATTTTTAAAGAATTTTCCTTTACATTTCTATGTAAAACTTTGGTCGGCCATTTTGGCCCCGCCCTACCCCCAGGGGCCATGATTTGAACAAACCTTAAATCTACACTACCTGAGGATGTTTCCATATAAATATGATCAATTATGGCTTTGTTATTCTTGAGAAGATTTTTAAAGAATTTCCTAATATATTTCTATGTAAAACTTTGGTCGGCCATTTTGGCCCCGCCTTAAAATATTACCCCCGGGGGTCATGATTTGAACAAACTTGAATCTACACTACCTGAGGATGCTTCCATATAAATATGATCAATTATGGCTTTGCTATTCTTGAGAAGAAGATTTTTAAAGAATTTTTCTTTATATTTCTGTGTAAAACTTTGGTCGGCCATTTTGGCCCCGCCCTACCCCGGGGGTCATGACTTGAACAAACTTAAATCTACACTACCTGAAGATGTTTCCCCTTAAGTTTTATCTTTCCTGGCACAGTGGTTCTTGAGAAGAAGATTTTTAAAACATGCCACCAAATTTTCATTAATTCCCAATTATCTCCCCTTGGAAGAGGGCGTGGCCCTTCATTTGAACAAACTTGAATCCCCTTTACCCAAGGATACTTTGTTGCAAGTTTGATTGAAATTGGCCCAGCGGTTCTTGAGAAGAAGTCGAAAATGTGAAAAGTTTACAGACAGCTAGACAGACAGACGGACAGACAGACAGACGGACAGACGGACGCTGGACAAAATGTGATCAGAAAAGCTCATGTGAGCCTTCGGCTCAGGTGAGCTAATAAAAGTAATGTTCAATTGATAACATCGTCGCAAACCACGGCCAAAACGTATGATCCTCTCCCATTCTGGCCGTGGTTGAATGAGAAAAGAATTTCTCATAGTTCATTAAAATATTGACCAATGCGAGTAAACCAGTCGGATAATGAACTTTGATGTGACCTTTCAATATCCAATCGCAGTGTACAAAACATTTCTTGTATACTGTTGATGTAAATTGATTTCAATTGCAATGGAAACAAAACTTGTCATTGACTGAATATGACATCACAATAGAGAGAGAACCATGCGCGCATAAATTCTGCGTAGTTGCTATTTTTTGGAATATCACCTGTCGTCAAGCACTGTTGACTGTTGCTACGCTGGCGGGCATGGCTTCATTATTCAGCAGGTAAAAGTGTTTTTTAACAAATGTTTCTCGAACAATCAGATTAACTTATTTACATGAAAGTATAATATCTTAAATTATCTCACAACCACTTAACAACTTGAAAGGTCTTTCATTCTGAACCTAGGTACCACATGATAAATTGTAAGATCTTTTATTATGAACCAGATTACCACAATATACATTTTATGTGTTCTTTACTTTATCAATAAAAATACTGTTTTGTCTTTTCTCTCAAACAACTTTAGAAGCATACTTGTTAAAAATTAGTTACAAAGCCCTACTTGATATAATAACTCTTTTAGCCCTACCTATCATAACCACTCATATTGCCCTACCTATCATAATCACTCATATTGCCCTATCTGTTAAAAACCACTCATATTGCCCTACCTATCATAACCACTGATATTGCCCTATCTGTTATAAACCACTCATATTGCCCTACCTATCATAACCACTCATATTGCCCTATCTGTTATAAACCACTCATATTGCCCTACCTATCAGAATCACTCATATTGCCCTATCTGTTAAAAACCACTCATATTGCCCTACTATCATAACCACTCATATTGCCCTACCTGTTATAAACCACTCATATTGCCCTACCTAACATAACCACTCATATTGCCCTACCTATCATAACCACTCATATTGCCCTACCTATCATAATCACTCATATTGCCCTATCTGTTAAAAAACACTCATATTGCCCTACCTATCATAATCACACATATTGCCTTACCTGTTATAAACCACCAACAGAAACTTGCTGTTTGGTCGGAGCTGAGTGTAGCGAACTAGTGTTGATGTTTTACCGGTTCCTACAAATAGTATGGACTACATGTATGTTATTTTGCTTAACATACACAGTCATAAATTATTTTGCAATAAACAATGTTTATCATGATAAATGTAGTAACAAAAACCTCCAAAAGCAAAACTATAACATGTCTAAAATAGATATTTATAAAGGATGGAACACAAACCTGCAAATGCCATGATCTTGATTACTTCCCCTGGCTGTACATTGTGATTAACAATTCTTAGTTGTTCATGTGTTAATTTTACAACAGCATCTGCCCGACTGCAAATAAAAACAAAGATTATTTTTGTCATATTTGAAATTTGTAACTGTATTAATAATTTATTATTAAGAATTCAATATACAAAATATGAAAGCTGTTCATTAAAATTCAATATTGATACAATAGAAAACCATTAAGAGTTTTCCACAATAAAATGCATGATGTGTTGAATGAAAAAAATATTTGCATTTTAACTAATCCCAAGACAATATATCCTTTAAATTCAGCTTGACATTGTTCAACACTAAGGCCAAAAATTGTGTCAATTTCCAAATTATTTGAAAAATATATATGATTTCATATACAGACAATACCTATATAAGTATTGGAGGCTTTCATAATTCATTTATTTATATTCATTAAAAAACACTTGTTTAGATAAGTTTAAATGGAAACTTGCTGCTTATCTGTACCTGGTAATAAATTGCTGATAATATATTGCTAACCTGTATTTCACCACCAACCAATCATTTATTAATAACCTGTACAGTAAAACTCGGTTATAGCGAAGTCCTGGGGACCTGTGAATTTAATTTGCTATATCCGTAATTCGTTATATCCGTATAAGGAATTCGTATAACCATATATAGCGAATTCGCAATATGCATGTTTTCCTTAAAGTGTTACTACAAAATATGTTAGGGAAGCACGTATTACAAAACATACCTTCGATATCTAAAGTTTTATTATTAAATGAATTTTATATACAGATGCTAAAAGAAAATAAAGTCAGTTCAATTTATCAAATTTTGAGATCTTTGAAAGTTCGTTGTAAAAGATGTAAATTTCATTATATTTAATCTCAAGGGGTTCATTATAACCGTAAAATTTTAAAAAGATTTGTTTAAGAATTTTGCCGGGGAACCAGAAAAACTTCGCTGTATCTGTGCATTCACTATATCCGTGTTCGTACTAAAAGAGTTTTACTGTAATTCATTCCTAACTTATAACTTATTACCTACCTGTAATAAATTACAGACTTGTGATCCTGAAATTTATTATTATCCTGTAATAAATTGCTATCCTGTAATTGATTACTTCCTCAGAATTATTAACTGCTTACCTGTAAATAACTGCTTACCTGTAAATAACTGCTTGCCTGTAAATAACTGCTTACCTGTAAATAACAGCTTACCTGTAAGACATGATGCTTTGCTGCCCTCCCCTGAGTGCTGGTCTCAGATCACCACAATAAGACACAGATGTATTCTCAAACAAATACAGGGCATAGAACAACCGGTAATGCATTCTGTAAAAGTATGAGCAATATTGCTTGTGAACATGGTGAATATTAACACTTGATTATACAAGAATCCAACCTTTACCTAACAGAGGCTTAAGACCCAAATTTTTTTAAGTGGATCTCGGTATCTCTTTTAAAACATAATTTCACACAAATACATAAGTATATCATGGTATGCAGAAATAATAACAACTGCCTTCATTTCAATTGTTGCACCATCAAACAAATTAATTACAGGAACCAGAAGTCTCTGTCGAGACTGAAGCTCTACTGGTTTGTACTTATAGCAAAGGAAAAGTACTTAAGCAGTTGGGAATTGAAACATACCAACAGCAATAAATAGAATAATGATCCTTGATAAAGTCTCTTTATGTTCTTAGTGTAGTCTACTTGTGTGCCAAGTTATACTGAAATCAGACCAAAACTGTAGGAGGAGTAGCATTTTGAAACAATTTTACAAAAATTTCTATTTTTAGTAACCATGGCAACAACGTTCATCGAAATCAAAAACCGATATAAAGAATTATGTATCTTAGTGTATTCTATTTGTGTGCCAAGTTATACTGAAATCAGACCAAAACTATAGGAGGAGTGGCATACTGAAAGAATTTCACAGAAATTTCTAATTTTAGTTACCACGGCAACACCGTTTATCGAAATCAAAAACCAATACATAGAATTATGTATCTTGGTTAGTCACACAAATGTAGGAGTATAGCATTTTAAAGGAATTTCACAGAAATTTCTATTTTTAGTTACCATGGCAACACTGCTTATTGAAATCAAAAACCGATACACAGAATTATGTATCTTAGTGTAGTCTACTTGTGTGCCAAGTTATATTGAAATTAGACCAAAACTGTAGGAGTAGCATTTTGAAAAATTGTTTACAGACAGACAGACAGACAGTTGCACCATCAAACAAATTATTTACAGGAAAAATTAGATCAGATACCTTGTACCGATCTTGGATATGTCATCAGTAAATTTATTTTGACATGATCAGACATACTCAGTGGAGCATAAATATCTCATCACTCACCCATTCCATACAGCTCGTCTTCTGAGGAATTTCATCACCAGCAAAATGGAGGCACAGCAGTACAGCATCTCCAGAATGTCCTCTGTCAGACAAGTAGAGCGAGCCATACAACTTATAACTTCCTGTACATCCCCTACTGTCTCCGAGATCACGACGAGGGTCACTATCGTACTCCACGGGTTCGGAACCTGTAGCAATCACAATCTGTCTTCTTAGATTACAAGTCATTTATTTTAAATTCATTATCTTGTCAAATTCTGGTGATATTTTTTTTTTAAAACAGTCACACTTCCCATTATCATGATATTATTATTGTAAATACCCTGTACATTATTATGTTTTGTTTATTCAACTATGAGCTTCATACTCACTTCCCATGTTTTTTTGTTTTTTTTTACAATAATCAATCTGTTATTTAATTTTTTTTGTAATCACATATTTACTGAGTCAATTTATATACAAAATATAGAAGAAAAATAATAGGTGAATGAATTTGATTTCCTGTATATTTACCCCATCAATAATGAGTTCTGGCATCCTCTCCGCCAGCAGAGCTTTAGCCCAGGTGTATTTCTTGTGACCCTCTAGCTTTTCCACGATGTCTCTGTACACCGACATAGGGAAGGAATAAAATGATTTGAAATACCTGAAAAAATATCACATTACAAACTCGTAAGGGGTGTTAAGAAAGTTCGTTCCATGATGAAATATTTTCGAAAATTTCAAAGAAGTGCTTCACTAAAGAGATGAATTTCCTAGTCTGATAAAATCACAAGAGTGTGCTTTAGATTGATAGCAATTCATTTCTAGCAGGAAGTTAGGGGTTTTCTTTCATATGAAAATATATGTGACATCTTTAAAGCACTGGAATGATACAAATGCTGGTCATTTTGAGTGAAAATAAAAGATAATTTACTTTCGTTTCTTCACATCTTATCTTGCATCAGAAAAGCTGATGAGCTAATAGGTATAAGAACGATAGACCACTTTTCAAAAGAATTCGATAGGTTTGTCATTTTGAAATTTTTTCACCGACTTCAAAATTTTTGCATAGTATTTGAAAGGATGTTTTGACTTGTGCGCTTAATATACCCGGTACGTCAAAGATTATTAGATATACTTCATCCCTAATTTTTATGAACAGACATTATCTGTTTTAATACTGCCCTCTCCTTACTGATTCCACAAAAGACAGGTAAAACCTTATCGGTAGCAAGAATGAACTCTGTAAACATGGAATATCACAAAAAATAAATATCTTCTCGTCATATTTCTTTTTTGAAAATAAAAGAAAATGCGGAATGAACTTTCTTAACACCCTTTCTATATCTATTGTATTCAAATTTATTGAAGACAAAAATAATCATGTTCATCTGCATTGCTGAAAATACTAGCATAATACTTAACTTTTTCAGACTTTTGAAAGCAAAAATAGTGACTGATAAATATTGGACCTCATCTATAGAACCTTCCTAATGAGCCCACAAAGATACTCATCTAATGAGTTCAGTAAAATGCTCCCCAGATAGGCCCACTAAGATAGCTGATCTTCACCTAATGAGTTCAGTAAGAAACTTAACCATTAAAATAGCTGTAAATAATCACTGATGAGTCCATAAGATCCTCAGATAAAAAAATCACCTTGATGAGTCCACTTAGAATATCACCTAATGAGTTCAGTAAGATGCTCACCTGATGAGACCAGTAGGATACTCACTTAACAAGTCAAGTAAGATACTCATTTCATGAGTCAAGTAAGATGCTCACCTGATGAGACCAGTAAGATACTCAGATGTATTCATCATTCCATTCTCCCTCATGATCATCCTGACAGCAAGCTTGGACTCGTTGGAATTCTGATTATCTTTCTTCAGCTTATAGTAAAGTTTCTTCCACCTCATAAACTAAACAAATTATAAAATAGTATTTTACAAATCAGACTTTGTCTTCAAAAATTAAAATTGAAACTATAGAATTTCATTAACATATAACAGTGGACTCAATCAGTATATTTTAAATACAATACTGTTTATGCTTCTTGCCACTCCCTACCTTTGGCTCATGCATTCACCTTTGTTATTAGGTCATGTCTACCACAATCATAGTGATAAACAGTACAACAGTACAAATAGTGTGTTTGTTTTAACCCATTTGGCTTATATTTTAATTTTGATATAATCCTAATGGTAAAGAAATAAAGTGATTATCTTTTTCATAAAAAAGATTACATAACATTATTTTAAATGAGGCAAACATTAAATACTTATACCTTCTCTTGTGAAATAACCTCATTCCATCTAACGCAAACTCTGTTGCAATTCAAACAAAGATCCAAAATAGGCAACTGACAGAATATTTTTTGTAGCAGTTCATCTGGAAGTTTATCAAAGTAATTTATTTTTTCAGCAGGCTGGTATCCGAGAAGTCCAAATTTAGAATCTGTTGCCACTTCAGCTGTACACAAAGCATCATCATCTGAAGAGTTCATTTCTTCCATTTCTTTTGAAAACAAAGCTGCTTTTGTCTTTGGCACCTTAGATAGGATAGGCAAAGATTTTCCTCCTTCATTTCTTTTTCTTTTCCTCTGTGGAATATTTTTGGCCAAATTCTTTTGTCCTTCAAACAATGCTTTCACAACATCAGTCCTTTCAGTATTTTTCATCTTTTGTACACAATTGGACTGTTGACTAGATGTAGGTGAATCTAAATCTGTGGTGTAAATTGATGACGAGTTTCCGAGCAGTTTGATGGGAGAATACATTTTTGAAGGTGTTCTATTGTGACTGCCTGAAGGTTGATTAGATGTTGCTGGAGACCTGCTTGTAGAGTCAGAGTCACTAATATAAATGGCGGAAGCAGAAGACTCCCCAGATAACTGATGGGATCTTGGTGAAGCTGCATTGAACTGGGGTTTTCCATGAAAATCATTTTCATTTGAGCTAAAATAGGAAGTGAGGCTTTTCTGGTTTGAAGGCATGTTTGACTTCACATTTCTAGTTGTTTTCTTTGGCGTTTCTGTGCCTTCATTAGAGATTTTCGATGGCGTGCCTTCATGACTGGGCAGCTCTGGACAAGTCTCTTGTTGGTGAAAATTTGCGGCTGACTGAAATCCAAAGGCACAGTCTGATGAATTCTTATTACAATTATTCATTCTGTTCTTTTGTGTTCTATAAATTGGAAGCAACTGTTGATTTCTTCCTCTCCTAATGCCATTCAAGAGAGGATCTGAGAGACTTGAACTCCCCTCAGCTGTCCTGGCAAGGGAAAAACAGTCCACTCTGTCCAGATGAATTTTACGCCGCTTTAGAAATGCTCTCTGGTCTTTAAGCTCTACACTTCCATTACTGTTTAGCATCATTTTCCGTCATGATCCATAATGTTGAAAAATACACTTTTTATTTTCCCTCATATTCAAAGCTTCCGGCTGTAGCGTTTCCAGTAACTCGTACATAAGTATTTCGAGAGTCTTTGCATACAATCAAAGACATAATACGATTCATATGTAACATTAGATATATTGGGACAGCGCATCCTTTTAAGTTAAGTTTATTTTATCTTGCTGCAGTATTCAGAGAAGGAAGCAACAATTTTTGATTTCTTTAAAAAAAAGAAGGGGGGTATCAGAAAAAAAATATATCTATATGTAAGTAAATAATTTTTTTTTAAATCGACATTTTGTAAAGTGAGCAACAAATAATATGAGCTCTTTATCCGACTATAAACGAATGTTTCCATAATTTTTTTAAAAAAATGATTGGCAAGGTTTCATATTTTTTTTTGGGGGGGGGGGGGGTCAAATTTTGAGCATTCCAGGAAACAGAATTATAAAAATTTCAAATGTTTCAACATAAGGGGAATTTGATATGAAAATGAATTCAACCATCAACAGACACTCAAGATAATAATAATGAGAATTCTGAAATCTTGAAAGTAAAGAGAAGATCTTATTTAGTTTTGAAAGGGAGAAAAAGAAAAGGGAACAAATGAACAAAACGAGACCATGGCTTCTCAGTGGTACTGACCAATAAACAAGTGAATAAAAAGGAAAACTTTGATCTGATCATAATATTGTATTGTAGTGTAAATCTATTTGAAATGCATTGCTTGATCTAAACTGTTAATTTCTGATTAACTTAAACATTATGCAAGAGATAAATATCAACTTTTCACGCTGTTTATTTTAATACAATACAGTTATACAATAGCAAAAAATTTACATTTGTACCTTAATCTCAAATGGAGAAAACTAACATAGGCCCTTGGCCTCCGCTGTTCAATCCATATTCATATTGTATACTTTTTTGTATTAATTATGACTAAAATACTCTTAAACTATAATTACAATATATAATGATCTAGAATGTATACATACATAATTGCATTTGACATCTGTACAATGTAACATAATTTAATATAAACACACGTGTAATGATAATAAAGATTAAGTCCTAGCTGCATGTTTACATGTATTTTTCATCATGCGCATATATTCTGCAGTCGTCAGAGACATATACATATTATGTAACTGTACAAGCTCTTTAATTTTACAATTATCATGATCTGCATGTTTAATATTGTGGTTACTGCACATAAAATTACTTCTGCGTAAAAGATTTGGGGATTCAGGAATTTCTTGTTTCCAAAGAATAGTTTGTTCTTTGATTACGCATCCACATTATCATGATTATACGAGAGAAATTCGTAAATGTAAAAAAAAAATGTGCTCTAAAAATTCATCATAAGCAAATTACATATATAAAATATTCTTATATTAATTGCTTAGTCAACATAAAGAAAATTAAAGTTGCTGATTCAGAGAAAATGTTTTTTGTTTAAAGAAAAAAAAAATCGGACGCCATGACATAAAAAAAACTTGACTGAATTTTGAATGATTTAGGATGTTGTGACAAGGAAGAGTTTCAGAAAAACTAATATATTACATTCAACAGACGTCAATAAAGAAATGTTCGATAACCACGTTCATTGCTCGTTTTACTTTTTAGCCAAATCGTCGAAAGCCATTTCACAACAAACTATACACTGAAGATAAAATGGAGGCCATTTTTGCTAATGAGGTCCGACAACATGCAATCAGAATTTGCCAAAAACACAAATTACCGTCCATTCTGAGTCAAATCCTTGAAAGGAAACCTTTCTACACATTTGATAGAATATAAAAGTGAATACTTCATGTCTCACAACAAATTTTCACGTTAGAAAAAACTCCGACCTTTTTATTATACACAACAGTGGTAGAAATGTCAGCGCTCCATTTTGTGTTTGAAAGCTGTACTTAAATTGATTAAAACCATCAATCTCAGTGTAAATAAAAGGAACCCATGATAAAAAATTCAAGATGGATATCATAGCTTTCTTTTCCAATTAGTATGTCCATCCAAAACCGTGAATTAGAACTTTTCTACATATTTTGAATGCATTCATATGCGAATTAAGTTGTCTTCTTTTGTATAAAAACTTCTTTTTCAACAAGAAAAAATAATTATATTTGTTTCTAAATTTATTTTGTATATACTTTTGAATATGCTTTATCTAATTTCATTTTTTCTAAATTTTACAAATGTCACATTCGTAAGAAAACTGCCCAAGAACACAACCTTAAAGCACAATTCATGTAGATTTCCTTGTCAGCCATGCAACTCTGTGTTTATTGATTGGGTGCTCTCTACGACGTCCGCGCTACACTAATATATTGCGGCGGACAAGTTTAAACCTCATAATACTTTTTGTTCAGCGAACAGACAAGAAGCGGAAAAATTATAGCAAACATGGCAGACGCAACTGATGTCCCATCTAAGAAGACCCCTAAAAAGAAGACTGCATCCAAGCCGAAGAAACCCGCGGACCATCCCAAGTATTTGGACATGGTTGTAACAGCGATCAAGGCACTGAAGGAAAGAAAAGGATCATCCAGACAGGCCATTGTCAAGTATGTACAAAGTAACAACAAGGTCGGTGAGGATACGGCTAAAGTCAATACGAGGGTGAAAGTAGCACTAAGAAACGGAGTGAAAAGTGGCGCTTTGAAACAGACTAAAGGTGTTGGAGCCCAAGGTCGATTTAGTCTTGGAGAGAAAAAAGCCGGAGTCAAGAAACCCAAGGCAGCTAAGAAACCAAAATCTCCCGCCAAGAAACCCAAAGTAAAGAAACCTAAGGCAGCGAAGAAACCCGCGGGGGAAAAGAAGGCAAAGAAGCCGAAGAAAGCCTCGCCAAAGAAAGTTAAGGCCGCGAAACCAAAGGCTGCCAAACCCAAGTCACCCAAAAAATCACCGAAGAAGGCGAAGGCAGCGAAACCTAAGAAGGCCAAGACTCCAAAGAAAACCGGAGCCAAGAAAGCCGCAAAGAAGTGAGAGACTGTTCAGTCATCGTTGTCTGAGCACATCGCAGTGAAATCAAAAGCCCTTTTAAGGGCTAACAATTCCTTCGAAAAGATGCTTTCAATACTAGTTATGATAAGAGAAACGTGTGTTGTGGTAGAACAACCAGCATCGCAAACCAAGGGGTGTAATTCACTCTTGCTTCTGTAAGCAGTGGGAGGTGGATTCTACCCCGTGGCTGCGACAATGCTGTCTTGTTACGGTAATGTTTTTAAGGTATTGACAGAGTTTTTTCATGGTTTTAGGGGGTGGGGGACATTGACATAGAGCAGATTGGAGGGAGTGGGGGTATGTTGGCGAAAACTATTATGATAATTTTTAAAGATATGTGTGATATTTATATAAATATAATATATATATAAATATTAGGGTAATATATATGTATTTTTTTATTTCAAATGTAACTGATTTTATTAACTCGTTATGCAGGCCTAATACATATTGATAATGCGGTACATGTACAAGCTCAGTATATTAAATATTATCTTATTGTCTGAAAAGGTCAGCACTTACTGCATTCTACGGACAGATTGCAACTAAAGTAAAATTTTCCCCAATGGATTTTTTTTTTTTTGAGAGGGGATCTGACTTAAATTCAAATTATTTATTGATTCACGAAAAGTCATGAAAAATGTTGGCATACATGATACAGCCATGTTACACACAAAATGAATTAGAGTTATTCCTCTTTGTACAATTAAATGAAGTAAGGCTAATCTACTTCTAGGTCAATTTTCAAAAGTCAGATATTCGAATGATTTTAAATATTTATATGGATTTTCAGAAATCATTACTTCTTTGGAAAAACAAAGAGAGATAAATGTAAAATTTTGGTAGGTCTCGTGTTTTTCACTACAGAAATCAACGGAAAAGGGAAAATATATTTAAAACATCCCCCCCCCCCCCGTGAAACAAAAATTCCTTTCTTTGTACGGGTAATATGGACTGTTATTTCACAAATTCATACCAAAGCTTTTTGTGTTTCACGGGGGGAACATATATATGTTTGTATACAAAAAAATTCTTATTTTTTTCAGCAATTTCCAAGTGCTTTAATTACAACTGAAACATTATAATTTACTAATATATATGCTTAATTTTATATGCATTAAACATAAGAAAAGATTCAAGAAACAATTATTCATATCCAAGACTATTTCAGATTTGGTGATGCTTTATAGCCCGATTTCAGTGGAAAATGTAGTCTACCACTTATTTCAAGAGCTGGAATTCGGGATATTTTAGCACTGGAATTAATTAATTAAGATATTTAATCAATTACCATTGCATTAATCTTTGTATTAAACAAAGATTTTATGGCCAAATTGTTATCAATATAATGAAGTCTAACCTATTTTTGAATTAAATGGTTGTAAAATGTAGGCGGGAATCGGGAGTTACCGTTCATATTTCTTTATATAGTAGCGCAGGACTTGAACTACTTGTAATCCTCAGGGGTCCTGAGTCAACACGTTGCCGTCCATCGACAACGCGTTGAATCATGACCACTGGCTCGCTAGGATTTTACTTGTAGGAGTAACACACTGTGTTTATTGATATGGTTATAAAAACTTATTTTTGCAGGCCCGTAGGAAGCAATTTAATGGGGGAGGGGGCACATGCAGTCATAATTTTTAGCTGGGGGTGGGCACTATCAACTACCAAACATTCCTTGACAAGCATCAAAATAATGGTCATTAGACGATTTTATTGAGGGGACAAAAGCATACAGGAGCTTAGTTTTCTATTGTATTCTATATATCGGCAAAATTATTTGAGGTGGGTGTGGAGGAGTAAATTTTGATTTTGATTACTTGTAGAAAATTTAAGTTTTACTTAGTATTTTGAATTAAGTATCATTTACAGATATATTTCTTAATTACATTTTCCATGTTGTCCAACATTTGAGCTTTAATTTATTATCCAAAAAAACTTTCACACATATATGTCCGTCACAATAAAAAAATGAATAAAATTACCGAACTTTTATGTCAGCACTTCGCCATCTGTATTCTGATATGAACTTAGGCATGTAAAGCTTTGCAGATAACTTTTAACATAAAGAACAATTAAGCTTTTACATGGAATGGTAGAGAAATGATGCTCGTCTATCCCCATTGAATATTGCTCCTCTTGATCATAAAATCTCGATGTTATACATTGGCGAAGCTGGGGGGAGGGGGATATTTTTTTTTACAAAGAGAGAGAGAGAGAAGTTTTCTGAAATGGATTTTTTACGTCTAAAACGTTGTGAATAAAAAAAACAGTTCAAAAAACTCACTCTACAATCTACAAACAGTTCAAAGAAATTCTGCAATCTCTAGCCAATCTATTCGCTAGGTAAAGTTCCCTTTCGTTTTAAAGTATACCTTCAACCTCCCCTCCCCACCTTTCTTTCTGGTCACTGCACCACGAAGCTTACTTTATAAGGCTGTCATAAAGCGTTTTCATTAATGAATGATTAAAAAAGGATGTATTTAAAATTCACTACATGTAAAAGTAGCATGCAAGGTTTTAATTTGATAGATGTTCCGCCTAACTTAGGCTACACCATTTTCAGAATAATTTCTGATGGAATCATGTGTGGATTAAGACTGGTAGGAAAGGAGGCAGATCATATAGGAATCTAAGGTTTCCACATGCAAAGACAGGGACTTTGAGACTTAAATGATCTTTGTTAAATTAGTAAGAACAGATCAAATATTGATGTTGTATACCCCAGATCGCAGTGGGTAACCTTGGTAATTAGAACAGATTATTAATCTAAAATTGACCATAGATTTAAGCAAAAAACTACACCGCGATTTTTCAGCTGGTCAGTGAATTGATTTCATTTTCATACTTTAATTTTTCCCAAAATAAGTAAAATGTCTTTTTAGCTGAATCTTCTTAATAAATTAGATTTGTAAAGAAGGCCCAATAAGTTATTAAATTAAGTTATTAAGTTATTATTAGTACCGGTATTAGGCATTAGTGTTAAATCCAGGATCTGAGAAGGGCACACATTTGATATGCTAAAAAGGGCACGTTCCGTCGCGGCAAGGCAATCTCAGGGCACTTTTATTGTATCGTAGTATAATAAATAATCCTTTAGCCTTTTAACAAGTTAAAACATGTTGCTCCCTTTTTTCAACTTTTCAACCTTGTGAAATGAGAAAACAGAAGTGTTTATTCACAATGATTTTATTAAATCTATATTTTTTTTAACATTGCATATTTCAACAGAGACAATATATTAATAATTTTTGAAAAATGGCACATATGAACATGATGAATATGACTTATTTCATTACAATTAAATAAACTATGCATCTTAACATTTATAATATAGAAAGACACTTCAATTCATTCTAGCTACTATTAAATTATTAAAACAAAAAAAAAATAAATAATGCATCATAACATTATAAAAGAGAGACACTTCAATTCATACTAGCTACTATTACTATACATTATTTTAAATAATGATAAAATGTCTTTGTCACTTAGATACTATTACCTAGATAAGAAAATACTTGAAAGACAATTCAGAATTAATAAATAATCAGGCATGTTATAAATAAATACATTTTTAAAAATATCACATTTCATTTCAAATGAGGTAGATAATCAATACATATTATGCATGTGTTATCTTTGAAAGACATAGAGTATTTGCACAAATCTAAAAACCAAGTAGACTAGTTTTAAATATTTTTCAGAAAACAAAATAAATAGGTCACATGTCATAAAATAAAATATCAATAAAATCTTTTTAAAAACTGTCAACTTTAAGAACATATATCACAACTGACAAGAGTTTCTTTTCTCACTGTAAATAAGAACTAACTGTCGCATCTTATTCAGGCACAGATTCACTTTGAACTTGAAGGCTGGACTCTGAGGATTCTTCTATTCTTCTTACTCAGATAGAGTTTCACAACCTTTTCCAGGTCCAGGTCTTCAACTGAGTTGGTGTTGAGGCCCACAGTCAACAGCTTACTGACAGTGTTTACAGATAAACGGTTCCTGTGAGTGGTTACTGTGAGCTTCACTCTGCTGAAAACCCTCTCTACTGCAGAAGTGGAGATGATCAGGGACTCAGCAATGGCCAACAGCCTCATGATGTTGGGAAACATTTCTCCCGTTGTTGCTCTTGCCTTGGTCAGGGTGTCTAGCAAGTACTTTGGGGTGCACACCTCCAGGCTGCTCCTAAAAAACTCTTTCATATCACCCCATTCATGCAATGTGAGTTCCTCGTCCAGGTTGAAGTGGTTTGCTAGGGAGGAAAGAGCTGCATCCCCATAGAAGGCAAGGTTGTTTGGGTCAACTGCACTGAGGTTGAGGACAGAAAGGCTGTCAATCAGGGTGGAATTCTCCAGTCTGTCCTCAATGTTGCTCGTCAGGTTGTCGATGAACTGGTTTTTGGCTGCCTGAATTGTCTGGTGAGTGTCATCCTTTCGAAATTCCCAAACTCTGTGCAACAGATGGAACTTTGCTTGTAAAGGGAGGGTCTCTCTCTTTCATTTTCCTAAGGGTTGAAAGCGTTGCTGTTACCCTCGGTTCAATAATTGAAAGATCCACATCTTCCCTTTCGAATGTCCTGGTAAGGGAGGCCAAGGATGTGCAAATGTCACAGAGGAGATGGATAAAGTACAGCTTGTCGTAGTTTTTTAGCATCTTAAGGAGGCTGCTTGCTGGGGTTCCCTTTCCATCTCTAATGATTCCTGAGGCAACTGCATTTTCAAGATCAGTCAGTATGGGTGCATACAACTTCCTAACAGTCTGAACAGCTGCCTCATGACTTAACCATCTTGTGTGTACAGCCCTCTTCACCGTGATGTTGTTTTGGTTTTCTAACTCTCCCGTCTCCCTCATCAAATTCTGAATGGCCTGCAAGCTCTCTGAACGGACTGTGCTGTAATGGTAGTACTTAAAAAGTGCTGTGAGCAGCTCATCTGTGTTGCTTATCATGGGGATGGACTTGAAGGCCTTTGATACAGCAAGCTGCAGTCGATGATTCATGCAATGAAGATGCAGAACTTCTGGGTTGTCATGTTGAAGTTTGGCAACCACCCCATTCTCTTCCCCACCATTACTGCAGGCCCATCACTGGCAAAGGATGTCATCTATTGCAGGGGTATTTCCTTAGATAACCCTTCATTGCGGAGTAAATGGTCTCAGCTTCCCCATTTGAAAGTTTAACATCCTGGAGAAATGCCAGTCTGGATGCTCCGTTGTCGACAAATCTGCAGACCATGGCCAAATGTTTCCTGGCACTGATGTCCGTGTACTCGTCCACCATCAAACCATAGGACTCGCTTGTCTTAATACTTTCAGACACTCTGGTCTCAACAACTTCTGCCTGGCAGTCGAGGAACTCTGTGGCTGTGGCTGCACTTCTGTAAGTTGCATTCTTTGTGTTGGGCAGATGTTGGAGATTTGTGGCTCCTAGTGCGATGCAAAGATCCATCAATGGCTCGTACAGGGTCAGGTATGGTAGATTATGCTGGATCAGGAAGTACAAGACTTTCTGGGCATCCTTTAAGGCCTGGATTTCTTTCTTGTTCATGGTCTC